TCCCAGTCTTAACTTTGAGGAAAATTTAAGCAGCTGTACAATTCATTGGTCAGAAAATGCAATTAATCATGCACAGTCAGTGGCTTTTTGAACAATTGCTCACAAAGTAAAGGAGAAACAAGAAGTTGTCTGCAGCCTGGAGGGCAGAGCATGGCAGCTCTAGCTCCTCTGTGGAGAAATAAGTATTTAAAAAATGCTCAGCCCTGAAAATAGGATGGATATGTACAAATACAGGATTCTTAAATTTTCACTGTGTTTCTCTAAGGAACCCTTAGTGTCAGTCCAGACATCTGGCTCCCAGCTGCACTTTCCAGGTGTGTCAGGAGGTTGCAATGTTTGGGATAAAGCAAGCTTAGACACTGTGCACTGCATGGCAGCAAAGGGTTTTCAGGGAATGGTTTCAAGTCCTTAAAATAATAAGGACAAAATTCATACCATAGAACTATTGTTTTAATATCCCTCTAATAAGAAAAAGAATCAGTTGTGTTCAATTAGTTTTTTTGTAGGTTCTTCTTCCCCAAATCCCAAAGGAATTGTTACTGGCAGTTTGAGTTCCACATTTGTGGTATATTTTGAAATCTGTAGGGGGCAGTTTAACTTTAAACAAGATATACATTAGTACATACATTCCAAACTCTGTTAGGAGTTGCAATATCTTGGCATTGTTTTCATGTACAGTTTGAAAGCAGAACAGGTTCCACTGGGTATTTATCCAAACCTCCCAAAAAATGGAAACAACACCTGAATCCCTCAGTTGTTCCCTTTCTCTGCCAATGTTGTGGAGTTTAAATGTAGTTGAGTTTTCATAATCCTCATCTGATTTTTTTATATGTAAGTAAATGTAATGTTTTCTTTAAGTCATTTATAGTAACTGATGAATTGGCATTCATAAAGTTTATGGGAAGCCCTAAATATTACATTGCCAAGGTATTCAGCTACATTTTTAGACATCTCAAAAGTTATTTGAGGTAATTAAGGTCCCAGAGGAAGCACCTGAAAGACAGCTAATGTCAGCTGCAGGTGATTAGGTGCCAAAGTGAAGGCTTGATTTTTCTGTCTTACAGAGAAAAAGTACCTGTAAAAGGGCACAGATCTTTTGTTACAGAAGGTTATTTGACATTGCCATTTCTTTGCATTTCTGTTAATTGATGCCTTTTATTTAATCAGTTGTTTTAATTTTAGCACACAAGTCTCAGTGAAGGTAGTGGAAATATTGTTGAAGGTGTGTGCCAAAGTGTTCTGCTGGCTCAGACCAGTGCTCAACATTTCTCCCACCTCACCTTTCATGCAGCCAGAGTTGAAAATAAAAAATAATCTGTATGTGTTCTATGCATTCCACTGAGGGAGATGACATCCTAACCAAGGCAGCTGTAAGGCACTGGGAAAGCAAAAAATGGATTCTGAAATACCTGTAAAAAAGAGTTCCTGCCTAGTGTGACCAGAGTACTGGCACACATTTGCTCTCTGTTGTGGTTTGGCCCTGGCTGAAATGCCAGGTACCCACAAAAACTGTTCACTCACTGTTCTCTGCTGCAGCTGGGCAGATGAGGGGGAAAAACAGATTCATGAGTTGAGATGAAGGCTGGGAGAAAACACTTTAAGGGCAAAACAGGCTCAAATTTAAAGGTATAAAGTAAATTTATTATTAACAGAGTCAGAGGAATCAAACTGTAACTCTGACTGCCCTTTGTTCCTGGTGTAATGCCTTAGTGTGTGCAAAGTGAATGTACAGCACAGCTGTGCAAGATTAGCAACTTTTGCATTGTTGTTCTTGTCCTGAGCTGGCAGCTCAAGGTGCCCAACAGACTCTGAGGAGTAGGGAGATCATTTGGAAGCCATTTCATGTACCTTCCTGGTGGTTTCTCATAGTTATATCATCTGATCAGAAAAGAATACAGAAATGAGACTGATTAAAAACCTGCAGAGAGAGACTTCTCAAAAGCCTGTCAACTTCTCTTTTTGAACTGGGTTGAAATAAATGTAAATAAAATTAAAAATCAGTCTGAACATCGTGTTGAATGTTTTTTGGAATCCTGGTCTGATCTGCATATTATGTTCAGTTTTTTGTTGGTGCAAAGAGAAGTGGATCTTGTAGGAAAACTGGATATTGGTAATCTTGGAAAACTCTGGTGAGGGCCTGAGCAATTTGTGAGTTTTGGAACTTTATAGGTTCAGTGGAGCTCAGTGGATCAGGTGAAGCCTTGTGCTGGGGCTGTGTGAAGGGCTGGCTGCTTGGAGCTGGGTGAGGTTTCTCCACTTGGATTTTATTCCAAGATCTGGCTCACATTTGTAGCCAGAGTGATTTCTTTGGGCTGCTATTTCAGGAATGGTGTGAGCTGTGCTGCATGCAGGAGTGTCAGGGGGTTGGGAGCACATGCCAGAGTGGGACACAGCCCAAATCAAATTCTTATTTGTTACTAAAGGAAACCTTCACCTGGGGACTGCAGGAAGTCCTCAGGCCTTGATCTTGATTATTTTTGGTCTTGAAAGCTGAGCTTGTGGCAGTGACTGGCACCAGAGGGAGCTTCACTTGTGTGCCAGTGCCTCTGCTCTGGCAGAGCTGTGGGGAGCCAGGGAGGGCACAGGACACAGGGCCGGGCTGGAGCTGCACTGCTGGGCAAGGGGGGCTTGTGCCAGCAGCTCCCGCAGCTCTGGTCTGAAGGAGGGCACTGCTGGACTGAGTGAGCTTTGTTGTACCCCTCTTCCCCCCATAATTAGTTGTCTGTACTCTTAGTCTGAAGCTGTCTAATTCTGTAATCTCAGTTACTAATTCTGCTGTTAGGTGATTCTCACGTGAAAGTTTGTGGCATGCATTGCCTGCCCTCCAAAACCAAATGCATCTTTGACTTTCAAGCTCTGATTTGGTGTATTCCTTATCCTCACAGGCTTTATGGGTAGCTGTGAGTGTTGCATAAGATTTCTCATGATTTGTTCATACCAGAGCACTTTGCAAGGCATTTGAGAGGGTCCCTGGATGGTCTCATTTTTTTTCCTTCAGTTCAATAGCAGCCAAGCAAGACCCACATTTAAATCCTGTAGGAAGCTTGCAGAATCCAGAGTGTTTCTGTGTGTATCCTAAAGACAGGAGCTTAAAAAACCAGCTTTGCTCTCTGCTTTGGAAATGCTGACCTGTTGCATGTGAACTCTCTGCAGACATTATCCCCACGTGATCTTACACCAGATTTCTCATGGGGTTTTTATTTATTAAAACCTTCTTTATATTAAAGGTGTTCACGCTGTGTAAGGAAACTAATGGACTTTGTTTAAATGATTGGACTTTGCTGTAATTTTGTATTTCTGGTATGTGCAGAAATCCACTGTTGAGGGGGTTTTATTACATTAATTGATTTGCATCTCTTCTTGGGGCAGGATAGAAATACCTGGAGTCTGACCCATTTTGTCCCATGTCCTGTTCCCTCCCTTCCCCCCATGTAACATAGCAATCCATTTCCCACTTCATCACTGAGGACAGTGAAATTTCTTTCCTTTGTGAAAATTGAAACATAATGAAACCTTTCATTTACTGGAATTATTGTTACAAAGTACTTCAGAATCGTGGATGGCAGCACCAGGGAAGTGTGGCTGTTGCCTGGCATTTCAGTAACCTTTTCTCAGCTGAACTTTTTCTTCTGGTCTCTTTTTGTGGTAGGATTTGAGCTTCACAGAAGAGTAACTTGGGCTACAGGATAAGAAGTTACTCTGCCCAGTGAGGGGAGTCATTCAGAGATTTAGAGAGATTAGAGCAGCTCCCAGTTCTAGACCATCAGTGCCTTTGTTTAAAAGCACCTGGCAGCAGTAGCAGAGCAGTTGGTTGAATTGAACACTGAAGTGAGGTGATTGTAATTGCCTTTGGTTTTTCCTCTTGGTGCAGGTCGTGAGAGCTGTGTGTAAAACAGGTCCCGTTAGGGCTGGCCCTGTGCCAAAGCCAACACCCATAAAACTGTGCACAGCTCTTGAACTGGACAGGAAAATCTCTGCACACTTACTGCAGCTCTGTACATTTTTAGTTGATTAAAATGAGGATTAAAAACATGAAGTGGGCTTTGTTTTCTTTTTTCTTGTGGCTTTGTAGCAAGGAATATTTAAGCAAATACTTTGCTGTGATGTGAGTCACTCTGTGGGTAGAATGAAGTGAAAACATTTTCAATACAGTTCATTTCAAGTTAAATTTGGTCAGCAGTGGCAAATCCATGGTTCACCTTAGGTTGTTGACAACTTTCTTTAATATTCATGTGCTTTTATACTTTTTAATCAAGATTCTCATTAGATGTTAGGCAAACATCTTTCCTATTCCTTTGTTTCTTTTCAGCTGGACCTCATTGTGGGGTTGTGATAGATGAGTAATGTGACGATTGACTCTCACAATTAACAGACAAATATCATGGATATAGGTTAAGAAAAGGGTTTTTTTTACTCCTTGAGTTGTTATCAAGGGACAGCCGGGGTTGGGATATTTGGGAGGGTCGGCTTGTCACTGTGGTGACATCTGACCTCCAATCAAGATTTGAGAAAGTAAACTCCACCACTGGATGGTGAAGAAGGAGTCGATGGACAGAATTTTGGGAAGGGTTAAAGGGTTAAAAGGCAAAATCTCCATTGTGTGGGGGAGCACATGGTGGGGAAAATCCTTTCCTCCTGGTGCTGTAACCTTTTGTCTATTCATTCTTCTGTTGTATTTTTGATAAGGTTTAATAAACCTATCTAAATTATGAAAAGTGAGTGGCTATTTCTCACAGGGTGAACTTTGAAGAATTTCTAAAGACCCATATTTTTTCCTCTTGAATTCTGGTTAAGATCCCATTTATTTGTAATGAAACAAGTAAGAAAACACTGTCAGTTATCTGTCTGGTGACAGATCCCTCTGTTTACATGATTCCCAGCCTGGCAATGAGCGTCAGAACAGGACAGGAGGGTGTGTGCTTGGCCTCCGAGCTCAGAATTTCTCTCCCGGAGCCCATTAACACCAATAAATGTTTCCTTTTGTCTCCTGTGTCCCGCAGCGAGCACTTGTCGTGTGCCTTCACGTTCTTCCTGCACGGGGAGAGCAACGTGTGCACGAGCGTGGAGATCGCCCAGCACCAGCCCATCTACCTGATCACCGAGGAGCACATCCAGATGGCCCAGAACTCCCCCTCGCCCTTCCAAGGTACCCAGCTCCCTGGGGGATGGTTCTCCAGAGCTTGCTGTCTGTTCACATTGTTGGTAACCTTCCATCCCAAACCAATCCATCATTTCAGTTTAAAAAGTCTCAGTATTTAAGAAAGTCAGTGCACACATGTGGTTTTCTGACGTGGTCTCTCTGTGAATCCTATGAGGATCCAAATACTGAGCTTATCTGGTTCAGGACTGATTTTCATTCATACATTGGCAACTATTTACTGGTTTATTTTAAAAACACGGGGTGGGTGTGGAAATGTAGCAGAAACATTGAAAAACTTTAAGTATCTGTGACTATTTATTTGCCAGTGTAAGAAATTAAAATTTTACAGAATTAAGTTGATGGCTTAGTAAATTCATAATGCAGTTTTCATGTGATGTTTTAAGAAAAACATTAAGGATTTTGAGTCATTGCATTATGCTGTCTTTACTACAGTCTGAAATTATAATTTCAAAGCAATTAAAGCAAGAAATCTTAGTAAAGTTCAACACAAAGTAAAAAAAAAAACAAACACCCAGAGACACATGAAATGATCATTTATAGAGATGTTAATTTATAGAAGCTTTATTGAAAACATTTTGTGTCTACATGTAAAGCTTTGACAGAGGCTCAGGCACTTCCGTCATACATTTTATTTCAGTGAGCTGAATTCATGACTCAAATACAACTAAAAACGAAATTGAGTCAGAATGGGAAATACCTGTTGTTTAGCAAGTCATTTTCCTTGTTTGTTGTGACTCTTGTTTATGTATTATCTATCCTTTTTAAAACTGAGAAGTTTCAAATGTCGCCGTCCTCTCTTCTTTCCATGAGTGCTCATCCCTGAATGCTATTTCACTACACTGGGGTTGCTGGAATTTCATTCACAGTGGAAATGATGAACCCAAACTGCCACAGAGTCCTGTGTCAGCTCAGGAGGGCTCAGTGCTCTGTGGCTTTGGATTCACACCTGCCCTGGGTTTTGCAGTGGCTTTCCCTGGACCCTTCAGTCCTCAGGCAGTGCAGGAGTGGCTCAGGCAGAGCTGGAGCAGCCCTGCTGTGGGAGTGTTGCTTGTTCTCCTGCAGTGCTGCTGAGTCCTTCAGGGCTGCTCTTTGTTGTGTTGCAGTGCTGGTGAGCCCTTATGGCCTGAACGGGACCCTGACGGGCCAGTCGTACAAGATGTCAGACCCTGCCACTCGGAAGCTGATGGAGGAGTGGCAGTACTTCTACCCCATGGTGCTGAAGAAAAAGGAAGGCATGAAAGAGGAGGAAGAGCTGGGATATGACAACGATTTCCCTGTGGCAGTTGAAGTCATTGTTGGTAAGTTTCAATATTCTGCCTGAAGGATTATTTTCCTCCTCATGATTTGGGGGAAAAAAAAAAAGTCATCTAATTAATCAGAAAGAGCCATTATAATTTTCCTATATTCTCTCGTAGCTCTCTTGACACCAGAACATCTGAGTAGTTCTGTTGCCTCAAGCTTTTGTACTCCCTGTATCCCTCATGCCATTATTCACTGGATTGAGCTACTTGTTTCAGCTCTGTGCTGGTTACAGAGGGCTGGATGTATATTAGCATGGAAATTCTTAGCTCTTTGTATTTCAGATAATAAGTTTTGTCAAATTGACATTGAAAACAAGTGGAAGTAGCTGTGGTTGCTGGATATTATCAGGTGTGTCTAAGACTTGTGGTTTTCCATCTCTCTGCAGGGGGTGTGAGGATGGTGTATCCTTCAGCCTTTGTTCTCATCTCCCAGAGTGACATCCCGGTGTCACAGAGCTCTGCCAGTGCTGCAGGCCATATAAATGTGGGACAGCAGGGGCTTGGAAGCGTGAAGGATCCTGTCAGTACCTGTGGGATGCCCCTGACTCCCCCCACCTCTCCAGAGCAGGCTGTTATGGGTAAGCAGTGGGCTGGGGAGATGGGCTCACACTCTGGGTTTTGCTTAGCTCTAGGGGAGTGCATGTGTGAGCAGGGGCAGGCAGGGGAGGAGGGCTGGGGGGGACTTTGTAGGTCTGTGGTGAAGGGAAGCCAGTGCTGTAAACACCCCTTTACACAAAACAGGGTGAATTCAGTTCAGCTCCATTTCCTGTAGGTACATCTGTGTGCAGTGCTGCAAAGCAACACAAACCTCTCACCACTGGGCAGCCCTCTGCTTGAACTTGGAGATTTTTTGAATCTGTTGGGGAGCTCTTGCTAAAATTCACAGAGCAATAGAAGTGTCAAAGACACAAAGACCCTACAAGTTTTTGTGAGACTGTGCAGCCAGGTGGGGCTAAAGAATCCTTGTTATGCCCTCATTGAGGAGCTCCCAAGCTTAGCCTTTATGGGATAGTTCTCTCACATCAACAGGGTCAGTCCTGGAATAACAGAGCCATTGAGGTTGGAACTCTAAGATCATCAAGTCCAACCTTTGAACCTTGAGGCAAAGGCAAAGAAAACATGTCTGGATTCACTTGTCCATGATTAGAGCCTATAGAGGAAGACAATCAAAGTATTTAGTATTTACTGCTAATAAGTCAGAATATGAGATGTAAATTCATTTGGAATGGTGTTTTTCAAAGAAACTGAGAGTTAAAATAAGCAAGAAGCCAATTAATGACTAACTGAAGCAAGACGATCACCATTTAAATAATCTCTGCTCAAGTATTGATGCATATTTTAATGTGCTATTGTATTTTTAACATTTTCAAAACCCTTTACACTTGTACAGTATTACAAGGAGGATTCTATTTTTGAATATTCATAAACTGTATTTTATATAAAAGTGTTTGTGTTGTTCAATCTGGCAGTCACAGCTTCTGTTTGATCTCTGCTATTGTTTGAGGGCAGTATGAATTTGGATCAGAGGGGTGCCTCTCCAGCAAACAATGAAAGAATTCTTTTTTTATCAAAAAACATTTTAAAAGACCTTGAAAAACTGGAGAAATGGATTGGAAAAGCATGTCATGCAGTCCAGAATCACTAATGGGACCCAGAAACTGGATTAGTGTGAGGCACAGGAATAATACTTCAGTTCTGCCCAATACTGTTTAAAACGTGGGTTTAGTGCCATGTCCAGTTTGGAGCACCTAAAGATGTGGACAAACCAACTGGAGTTCAAGAAAGTACAGTGAGAGTGAGCCTGGATTTTACAAACAGGACCCACAGGAAAGGATGGACAGAATTGAGGTGGTTTAGTCTAGAGAAGTGGAATTTCAAGGAGAAAAAGAATAGGCTTTTCTCTGCAACCAGTATGTAATGAATCTAAACTGGAGTGAAGCAAAACTAGGTTAAACAGGAGGAATAACTTGCTCTGAGGAAGGATAATGAAATGTTGGAATAAGTTGGCTATTGGGAAGCTACAGAAGTTACATTAGCAGATGGGTGATGGGTTTTGGGAGGTTTGGTGGGGGCATTTTGTAAGGTTGTTTTTAAGAAACAGATTAGTTAAATTTGTTGATCCAGCTTTAAAGCAAGGACTGGACTAGATGATCTCTTCAGTTCTCTTTTAATCACGTTTTCCATGGTTGTGTCTAAAGTATGTAACAAAACAAGTTGTTACTGGAACTAGTGAGTGGCATTTTTCACCAGTGGAACCAGTCTGGACTGCAGGGGTTGTGTGGTGGCCTCTGGTGGGGGCTGCTGTGTCCTCCATTCACTGCACCATTACCTGCCAGAGGTATCTCTGTGTGTTCCAGGACTGTGCCAGGGATGTTCATGGACAAAAATTAGTGTGTGAAAACAAAGTGGTTTTGCCTGCTGTGCAGTTCTGTCTCCTGTTATGCTGTATATTGCTGTACTGTATAGTATAAAAATATTACATAATTTAAAAAAAGCAATAATTAATGCATTCCAATGTAACTTGAAAGCTCTGGTAGTTCCTTGGTTATCCTCTCGTGCCTCCTGTCCTTCCTTTCCTATCAGACTTATCCTTGTTTTTCTCCTGCTGTTGTCACGTGATGCCTCTTTGTCCATGTGATGTTTGTCTATACACACATTCCTTCTCCCCTTCTCCAAAGGAGGGCACATTTGCCAGTTCTGAAGTTCTGACCTGTTTGTGTTTTGATCATCTGTCAAGTTCCCACTTGCTGGAGAACATTTGAAAGCCAGTGAAGTACATGGTTAGAGGCACAAGCCTCAGTATGGCCAGGGGTTTCAATGTTTGACTTTACAAAAAGATAATCAGGGAAGATCTAAGTGGGGAAAGAAATACGTAACGTGAATAATCGAAGATGCAGGGTTAGGCAGCTTGTGTACCATTTCAGAAGTTGTGTTTTGCAAATCACCTGGCAGCCAGCAGCAGGATTCCCTGTTAGCTGCAGTGATGTGTGCAGCTCTGAGTCCCCTCAGCACTTCACACTTGAGGCTGCTTGGATTGCGTCAGCGGGAGGACGAAGTGTTCTGTACCCTGGTGTGACCTTGTGAAAATGCAGCAGATCCCTCCTGGCTGTTCCAGCCCGGAGCAGCGACTCCTGCCCGGGCCAGCGGACCCAAAGCTCCCTCTGCTGCTGCAGCTCGGCCTTGGCAGGATGGATGTGCTGGAGTTCAGCTAAACAGAAACACATTGCAGGGCAGGAAAAGAAGCATCTGCTTGTACAATAGCTGGGAAAAGCTGCTGCATCACAGGAAGGAATGGAGTGGAGAGAGTTTTCAGGCTCTCAAACATGTTGAAGTAATATCTTCATTTGTTATCTCTTTGATAACCACACAGAAAATACATACTGAGAATATGGTATGCTGTGTTAATAGTGTATCTACTGGTGATAAGCTGTTGGAAATTTCTGTAGTAGTGTAGATCTCAACTGGAAAATCTCAACAAAGCCATTTTTGATTTTAGTATTTCAGTTCAAGCATATTGTAAAGAAATGGCACAGAATCCCAGACTGGTTTGGGTTGGAAAGGACCTCAGCCTCAATCCACCCCCTGCCATGGGCAGGGACATCTTCCACTATCCCAGGCTGCTCCAAGCTCTGTCCAGTCTGGCCTTGGACACTGCCAGGGATGCAGGGGCAGCCACAGCCTCTGTGCCAGGGCCTGCCCACCCTCCCAGGGAACAATTCCTTCCCAATCTGTCCCTGCCCTCTGGCAGTGGGAGCTATTCCCTGTGTCCTGTCCCTCTGTCCCTTGTCCCCCTCTCTCCTGGAGCCCCTTTAGGCACTGCAAGGGACTCTGAACTCTCCCTGGAGCCTCCTCTTCCCCAGACTGAGCACCCCCAGCTCTCCTAGCTTGTGTCTGTAGGAAAGCATCAGTGATCCATTCATTTCCTTAGTGAGGTTTAATACTGAGTAATAAGAACTGACCCTTGCTTTGAAATATTCTACATAAATTATTATTAATTTTCTTAATAGATGCTTTTAGGACCATCCATATTACAATAAATTTTGTCTTTAAAGCAACTCACCAAAGACTATATAAATTCAAGTTTAACGTACAGGATAATAATGAAAAAGCTCTATCTTCACTATTTCTTAGTGATTCAGTCCAGAGCTGAAGGGGCTATCTAAAGTACCTCCATTTATTAGGGAGTGTATTTTTTATAGATACACAGAGATATAGAATATACAGAATGTATCACATCACATGAGGTGCAGTACTTGCACAATTCTATTGCCCATGCCTGTGGTACAACCCAGTGCCATCTCTGTTACCTCAAAGGAAGTGTTGCTTTAAATGTGTTTGTAAGGATGCTCTGAGCATTCCCAGTGAATGTGAACGTTGGTGTAGTCAGCAGCCTGCTAAGAGACTTCCAGGAAAAAATAGCAAGTGACAATATGCAGAACAGTTCTGACATTAATGCTTTAATTCTCTTGCAGGAGAAAGTGGCTGCTCTCAGAGCAGCATCAGCCACCCAGCTGTGCAGGAGGGGACAGTCAGTGTCCACAGTCCAAAGAAATCAAGCAAGATCACTCCCAAATTTCACAACCGTATTGTTCACCGCGTGTGGAAGGAATGCATCCTCAACAGGGCACAGTCCAAGTATGGCAGCAGTCCTCATGCTTTGCTTATTTATAACACATAATATACAGCTAAAATTGTCATCATTTGCCTTAATGTTATTCTTTACAGGGTTCCTTTGCCACCAATCAGAGCTAATGATGCCAAACACCATTATCAAAGAAAATGTATTATTAAAGAAAATTTATCCCTCTGTTCAGCTGAGAGCTCCTGACACTTCCCATTGAATTTGCAATTGTGTACCCTCATTGTGACAGTCCTTGAGGTCACACATCCATAGGTTGTGCCTTCAGCCAAGTGCTCTCAGATTTAGAGATGGCAGCTCCCATCTCCTGTTGTAGTTACTATACTGAAAGCTGGGTGACTGCAGAACACATTGTATATATTTGATATTTAGGGCTCTAAGGGAAGTATTTGTGAAACCTTACATGAGTTGGACTAAAATTTCAATTGACAAGTGTGTATAAATTGATGTTAGTATCATAGACCTTTAGTACTGGAGATTTAAAGTGTATCATGGCATGGTGAGCCCTGAAATATTTATTCTTTCCTATATCCATGCAATTTCCTCATTTGGTATGTCAGACTAATTTCCAGAAACAGTTTAAATGGCTTTCCCCTTGTTTCTTGTACTTGGACAACAGACAGTTATCTGACACAGAGCTGAGACCTTCCTCCTACATAAATCAAACTGTAAATTTAAGGAGTAGTGCAGGGATCTGCTGTCAATTTCAAAGGTCAGGTAGAAGGAAGTAATTTATCTGAGGGGAACATATATGAATTATGTACATTTTAAAAATGCTGTTCTTCAAAAGGTGGTGATTGCTAAAATAATTTTCTCTTCTTCAGGAGGAATCAAATTACAGCTGCAAATTTGGAGGAGGAAGTTCCTAACAATAGTGTTTCATGGGATTTTGTGGATCCAGTCCAAAGAGTCAGTTGTTCTTGTTCCAGGTGAGCTTTGAAGAGAATAAACATTTGTCATATTGTGAGACCCCTGTTTAATACAGGCAGAGGTACATTGCAGAAGGGAGTTATCTCAGCTTCAGCTGAGACAAGAGGGAATTGTAATATCAAACCTGTGATCACATTTGGGGGATGAATCTGCATCTCAGCCCCCTGTCACTTGCAGGAGCCAATCCAAGTGGGAAAATTAAGGTATTGTGGCCAGGATCACTCCAACAGTTCCCATTCATAAGGAACTCATCCTGCAGCTTTTCAGAGCTGTAACCTTTGGTTAAGTGGTTAAGGCTTGTGGTGAAGAGAGCAGGATCTTCCAAAGTTTGTGATCATCCTGATATTTGGAGGAAAATGCCCTCATTGAGGCATCCCTGCAAAACACTTCATGTGCCTCTGGTTGATTGCCGTGGCACCAAACCCACACGAGAGAATATGAAACATTGGCAGCCTGGTCATCCTCTGCCACTGGATCAGAAAGAATTCACAGCTCACTCACAAACACTTTAGGAGGTTATTAAAGTTATCTGTCATCTTTGGGTGGTTAGAATTCCAGAACTCCTCACTCAGGAAAGGCAAACCATCATCACCAATATGCTTAACCATTCTTAAAACTATCAGAGAGATGTTACAGGGCTAGAAAAGCACCCAGTTTGCAGTAAATAGTCCTGTGAAACACTTCTACTGAAATTCTTAATTCCCAAGGTCACCATCTACTTGTAAGATAGGTGATAAAAGCACCTTGACCAAAAGAAGTTATTCCTTAAGGATGCAGTTCTTTGTGTAGTCAGAGGAAGGGATGAAGGGACTGCATCCTACAAGGGTGGAATGTTCAACCTGGAGACTCCCTGCTCTATCCCAAGTGAGAGGATGCTCTCTGCAGCTCTTCCCCCCTGATTATACACATTGTTTGTATTTATATACTCAATAAGTTGGAACAGATAAATATTTTGTCACAATGCCAAGTGTTTCCTGTGGAAAACTGAGGTCCAGCTTTGCCTGGAAAGCGTGGGGATCGCCAGTGGGCAGTGGGAGCCTGGTTCTATGGATAGGTTCAGCTGCACTTGGAATTTCACACTGTCTGTTCATCCCTCCAGTGATAACTGCATCATGCTGGAATTGGTAAACACAGCATCTGGGAAATGGAAACATTATCCTTAAAATGAAGGCAGTACCTGGTTTCAAACAGTTCTTTGTGTGTAGCTGCAGAACCTGAGCAGCTACTGGCATATAGAAATTGTCATTTTTAATCATTTTTGTGCCCATTCCATGTCCTGGATAAATGTCAGTATATGATCTTAGATCTGGAGTTTCAAAGGGCTGTCTGGTACTCAGCATCAAATTCAGTCTCCTGCAGACCCAGCTTGGTGTGTGAGGAGCAAAATGTCTGAAATAATTCTCTGCAGTCAGTTAAAATATGGTGAATGATGGAGAATTAAGGCAATGAAATGTTACAAGAACATGCTTAAGGCAAATCTCCAGTTACCAGGGCATTAGCTGCACATTAGGGTGATTGCAGGCACAGACCATCTGCTGCTGCAGGGAATCTGCAGCGTGTCCTGCGAACAGCAAAGCCCTGCAGAAAGCTGGGATAACCCCACACAGCCTGGATGCTTCCAGGGAATAGGGACAGCAAGCACAAAATGTTGTGTCTGCACCCATATACAGGGTTGGGTGTCTCCAATGTAGCCCACTTCACTTGTGATCATGTAGGTTATCTTAAGTAAAAAGCACATTACATGTTTTGAAATGGGTTTTTGTTGTCCTGTTGTTCATAAAATAGGAATGGAGTGATTCATTTTGAAATGGTGTTTATTTTTAAACAGGTTTCAATGTTAAGTACAAACACATCTTTCAATTTCTGTTTAGCTTAATAAAATCAAATAAACAGCTAAACAAAAAGCCCTGAACAACAAAAAAGATCAGTAAAAGTATGGGCAGAGTTATATCCCTGTTGTCACATCATTGGGAATCATCATCAGTATGATGAAAATACTTTTTAGCAGGACCTGAAACACTGAAATTCAATCTTGTGCTTCTCAGTCTCAAAGATACTGAATGCAAAGTGAAAAAAGCCACACGAAGCCAGTAAAAAGATTGTATGTTACTCCTTTATTTTGTTTTGAATATTTAAAAATAATTATTGAAACTTCCTGCATCAGGCAGAAATTAGAAGCCTGTTAAAAGATTAGGAGCAGACAGGGGGTTTCTCAGGGCTGTTCTTTGGCTTTGCCTTTCCCCTGCGGTGGGTGACCCGGAGCATGCAGTGAGTGCTTTCTCCTCTGCTGCAGGCACAAGGTGTTCAAGCAGCGCTGCGCCGGTGCCTCGGGCCGGCCCCCCACGCTGCCCCAGCCCGGCTTCCCCGTGGGGACGGCGGCGGCCTCGGCACTGCCCCCTCCTGCCTCCTCAAAGCACAAAACCACCGAGCGGCAGGACAAGGGAGAGAAACTGCAGAAAAGGCCCCTGATGCCGTTCCACCATCGGCCCTCGGTGACTGAAGAGCTCTGCATGGAGCAGGAGGCGGCCGGGCAGAAGCTGGGCCTGGCCGGGATGGAGGCCGCCCTGGAAGTCCCCAGTTCCAGGAAATACGAGAAGCCGCTCTCGCTACCTACTAGAAATGCAAGCAAGCAAATGAATATGAATCCTATGGATTCACCCCATTCCCCCACTTCCCCTCTGCCTCCCACCCTGAGCCCCCAGCCCAGAGGTCAGGAGGCAGAGAACCTGGACCCCCCTTCCGTTCCTGTGAACCCAGCGCTCTACGGCAGCGGGCTGGAGCTGCAGCCACTGCCCAGCTTAGATGACAGGACAGTCGTGGTGGGACAGAGGTTACCTCTGATGGCAGAGGTCAGTGAGACAGCCTTGTACTGTGGCGTAACTCAGAGCAACGAGGCCGTGGACGTGTGGAGGACCTATAGTGTCCCTTCGAGTGACGACCCCATGTTCCGGCCTCCGGAGCTGCCGTGTGAGAGGTATGATGGCAGGATGGAGATCAACCCCGACAGCACTGCACTGAAAAGGTGAGAGAGCACTCTGAGCAGGGGAGCTGGGCAGTTCTAATCATCACCAAAGTCTAATTTCTGCTTTTCAACTGAGAAAGGCTGAGGCTTCACCATCACAGAGAGCACCAAATAGTTAAATAGAAACACTCTAGTGCAGGATGCTTGCCTTTTCCATATCTGGCTTTCTGTTCAACACTAAAAGAACTGATCAATCTCTGTGTAACCTATTTTTGTATTTTTTGCTAACCTAAAAATTACTGTAGCATTCTGATAATGCATTTTAAAAAACGCACCAGAGAGAGTAGTTAATGAAAATGTGTAGGAAAAATTAATTGAGGAAGAGTTATTGAGTTAAAAGACTATTGGGTTTGATAAGTACAATGGAGTTTGCTAGGCTGAAAAGAGTTTCAGCCTGAAAAACATAGGAAGGCTGGACTTCAAAGTGTTTTCATTTATACAGTGACAAAATTGATTCTTCTTTCATTGTCCCAAAGTAGGCCTTAATACAGTAAGGTATTTAATGTTTAAATGTATTCAATACATCCTTTATTTGAGGGGGTAGTGCTTGTAACATTTCTACTTGATCAAGGGGGATGGAGTGAGCTGTGTTTGTGTGACAGCTGCAGATTGTGCTGGTTTTGTTTCATGTTGGCCTTACTTGTTTATTTTCACTTCAGGCTCTTAGCACAACCTAATAAACGGTTTAAAATTTTGGAAGAGCAGAAACCAGTGCAGACCTTGAACTATCTTGACCCCTTGCCTCTACTACAACCCCCTGGAGAAGGCTGGGGGGACACCAGTGATCCTTACACCTTCGAAGATGGAGACATCAAGTACAGTTTCACTGGCAATAAAAAATGTAAACTTGGGGCTGAGAAAGATCCTTTGAAAAAGAACAAGGTAAGGTGCAAATCCAGTCTTTGGCATTAATGTTCTTGTGGGATTTATCCTGTGGCACAGTGTTTGCTCTACAGCTCTCTGGAAGACACAAGTCTGTTCCACAAAATAAGATCAGACATATATATATATATATATATATATATATATATATATATATATATTTAATTTTTTTAAAAAATATTATTTTATATTATTACCTGCATGATGCTCCTTATGTATCTTATCCTTTGTGGAGCTGTTTTGGTGTTTGGCTGTGCAAGCAAACATTCTAAAAGATGTTTTTTCCTGGAGAATTTGAGGTGGTTAATTACCTGGACTGGCTGTCAGAGGTCAATGATGTCCATGGAATCTTTTGTAAATCTTATATTTAACTCAGACCCCTGAGTCTGGCTGGACGTAGGAAAACATTTATTCTTACATAGCTTAAATTCATAGCCATGAAATCTCTTTGATTTTTTGTATAGTCAGAAGATGGGATTGGTTCCAAGGAAATTCCCCCAACGGGCCATTCCACACCAGTTCCTGATGGAAAAGATGCCATGTCCATTTTCAGTTCTGCTCCTAAGACTGGTGAGTTACAGCTCTAATTCGGTCTGCAAAGCAAAAATATCTATATGCTATAACATGTGGAGGGAAAAATCACATCTGAACTTTTGTCTGTAACATCAGAGCTACAGACAGTCCCCAAGCTGGAAAAAACTTGATTTTCCTTGTTCTTTTTATAAAAACAATTATATATATTTTAGAATATTAAATGAGCAGCAACAGCTCCTTCCTTGTTTCTTGGCTGACCCTGGCTGGTCGCTACTCAGCCTGCAAGGCTCCAACAGAGCAGAGGGCTCAGTGCTGGGGGGCAGAAGTGCTGTTGTGCTGCTGCCCGTGCTGTGTTTCCCTGGCCCTGTTGTGTTTCCCTGCCCATGCTGTGTTTCCCTGCCCATGCTCAGTTTCCCTGCCCGTGCTGTGTTTCCCTGGCCCTGTTGTGTTTCCCGGCCCGTGCTCAGTTTCCCTGCCCATGCTGTGTTTCCCGGCCCGTGCTCAGTTTCCCTGCCCATGCTGTGTTTCCCTGCCCATGCTCAGTTTCCCTGCCCATGCTCAGTTTCCCTGACTGTTCCCGTTCCTCCCTGCACTGGCAGACCCGCGGCAGGAGGGCGCTGCCGGCAGGGCCGGCTCCGGCAGCCTCACCCAGGTCACCGACCTGGCCCCGTCCCTGCACGACCTCGACAACATCTTCGACAACTCCGACGAGGATGAGCTTGGGGTGAGTCCTTGTGGGGATGAGTGTGCTGTTGGCCAAGAAGCAGATTCCTAGTGGGAATGATTATCCCTAAGAGATGGGAGAGAGAGAGAGTTTCCAGGTAGGCGGGCTTGAATTTTCACTAGGAAGGATTGCTGGCAAAGAGAGAGATCCTTCAGGAGATCCATCCTCCATGGACAGGCTGTAAGGAGCTTCCACAGGGAGAGCCATGTAGTTGCTTTGTAAATATCTAGTTTTGTGTTTCCTAGGCTTTCATCAGAATTTTTGTTTCAGAATTATGGTGGAAAAGATCCAAGTTTTATTAATTGGTGATGGGTTCTTTTACCTTGTCTGAGAACCTGTCCAAAGAAAAATGAATTCAACTTTACAGGATTCCAGTAATTCTCTGAGTCATGTTACCTCATGTTCCTCCAAGCACTTCATTTCAGTGCAAAGAGAAATAGTTGCTGCATGTTAGGAAATACAGAGAGAAGTGCAGATTTATGTCAGTTACGAGGGGCAGTAAATTACCTGGGAATGCAAAGATTTGGATAGACACTATCTTTAAGCATAATGTAATACAACCATAATGATACAGAAGGTGGTCTTAAAGTGACTATTAGTACATAACAGTGTTTAAAAGTCTTATGCCTTTTCTTGGCAGGACTTTAGAAGTGCACCAGTTTCCTTGCTGTGGTTCCACACAAACTGCACTTCAGATGCCACAGTTAATATGCAAATCTACCAGAGGACTGTTCTGTCAAAATAAAAAATTACTTTCTTCTCTGAAGTTGCCCCTGGACAGCCCTAATGTTTTTCCTGTCTTAACATTTGCCTCTGTTGGGCTCACTCTGTGTCATATTCCCATTACTACCTTGAAGTAATCCAAACATGGAAATAAATAGAGCAGCCACATGCATTTCAAGCTCGGGGCTTGTGATAACATTTTGAATATAATTTGTACGTGTATAGAACTATAAAAATGCATAGTTATATGAATGCATCAGTTTATGGGGGGATATATAGACAGGCAAATATTTCTTTTTATTTTTAGTGTTGAAAGAGGGGAAAAAATCCAGACTCCTTGTGGGCAGCGGGTGGGGGAGTAGAAAAGCAGCCGTGGTGTTTGCTGTGCAGTGCCACTGAGAGGTGTCAGGCTGTGCTGACTGCAGTGTTTGCTGTTGCAGGCCGTGTCCCCAGCCCTGCGCTCCTCCAAGCTGCCGGCAGCGGGCTCCGAGGAGCGGCCGCTGGGCAAGGACGGCCGGACTGCGGTTCCCTATCCTCCCAGTGAGTACCGAGCTGCTCTGCTCACACCCCCTGGCTCAGTGCCCTGCCCTGTGGGGGCTCTGGGTCACTGCACAGCCCTGTGGGGGCTCTGGGATCACTGCACAGCCCTGCAGGGACACTGGGTCACTGCACAGCCCTGTGGGGACACTGGGTCACTGCACAGCCCTGCGGGGACACTGGGATCACTGCACAGCCCTGTGGGGACACTGGGATCACTGCACAGCCCTGCAGGGACACTGGGTCACTGCACAGCCCTGTGGGGACACTGGGTCACTGCACAGCCCTGCGGGGACTATGGGCTCAGTGCACAGCCCTGGAGGGGCTCTGGGTCACTGCACAGCCCTGCAGGGACACTGGGATCACTGCACAGCCCTGCAGGGACACTGGGTCACTGCACAGCCCTGTGGGGACACTGGGTCACTGCACAGCCCTGCAGGGACACTGGGTCACTGCACAGCCCTGTGGGGGCTCTGGGTCACTGCACAGCCCTGCAGGGACACTGGGTCACTGCACAGCCCTGCGGGGACTATGGGCTCAGTGCACAGCCCTGGAGGGGCTCTGGGTCACTGCACAGCCCTGCAGGGACACTGGGTCACTGCACAGCCCTGTGGGGGCTCTGGGTCACTGCACAGCCCTGCAGGGACACTGGGTCACTGCACAGCCCTGCGGGGACACTGGGTCACTGCACAGCCCTGTGGGGGCTCTGGGTCACTGCACAGCCCTGCAGGGACACTGGGTCACTGCACAGCCCTGCAGGGACACTGGGTCACTGCACAGCCCTGCAGGGACACTGGGTCACTGCACAGCCCTGCGGGGACTATGGGCTCAGTGCACAGCCCTGGAGGGGCTCTGGGTCACTGCACAGCCCTGCAGGGACTCTGTGCTCACTGAGGGTGCTCCTGTGCTGCAATTGCCATTTTTTAATGAGGCAGTGGTAATACAGACATGGATTTTGAATAAGCCTACTGATATGTGAAGTACTCTTCTGTTGACATTGTTGTCTTAGTCTGGAACTGTGGGAGGGATTTGTTACAAATCTTCCTTTGGAAGCTTTTCCCTCTCTTCTCTGCTCACTGTTGGGCACTTCAACCACTACCAAATCCCTCTTTAAGTATAAATCCTTCTACTTAACGAAATCAAAGAATTTAAAAACCTGGCCATGATGGTGCAACCTGTCTTGGAAGAAAATTGCATTGAACATTTGACAAATTAAAACTAAAATCACCTTCAGGGTTTAATCTGGATTTGGAAGTGCATGATTAAAATCAAAGTGCTGAGTTCTAATTGGAGGTATGGTGTGGACCTTTTATAGGTGATTGTGCTAGTGATGCTTGTGCAGGCTCTGCACATGGACAAGGGAGGTTATGGGAGTGCAGAAAACTTCTGAAATTTTATGAAATAAGATTTTTTTTTTCTAAGGACTGTGCCAACAGCTGTTGGAACGGTAACTTGTGCTCTGAGGTTTGAGGGCTTTGCTGCATTTCTCGCACCTGACAGGAGAGGGCAGCTGGGGGGTTCGGGCTCTGCTCCCAGGGAACAGGGACAGGAGGAGAGGGAATGACCTCAGGTGTGCCAGGGGAGGCTCAGGTTGGATATTGGGAAAATTCCTTCACTGAAAGGGTTGTAAAGCCCTGGCACAGCTGCCCAGGCAGTGCTGCAGTCCCCATCTGTGGAGGGATTACCAGCCCTGTGGATGTGGCACTTGGGGACATTGGGTCAGTGGGGCCTTGGCAGTGCTGGGAGTGGTTGGAGTCGATGATCTCAGAGGGCTTTTCTGACCTGAACAGGTCTCTGATTCTATTGGTGGCATTTCTCTTGAGATGAAGGGGAAGTGTGTCTGTGTTTGTGGGACAGGAGGAAGATGAGAATTTTTGGTACAATAGTAACAAATCAAATTACAAATTACTTTGTGGTGAGAAGGAAAGAGTGTTTGATTTCTGTGGCCGCTATAAGCAGAAATCCAATCTCTCTGCAAATCATTCTTTAATACCTTCTCATTAACTTCAGCTGGTAATGAGAACAAATTGAGGTGAAGAAAAAAACCAGTCTGAAGGAGATGAGTCAGAGTTTTATGGACCCATAAAAGCTGTGCTGATTTACTCAAATGTAGAAGTCTGAAGTATACAGAGATTGGATTTTGACAGGTTTAGTTGATCCATAGCTTTTTAAAATATGCAAAGCTTTTTCAAGCATGACACACATGAAAATGAATGATGATAGTTGCCTGTTGCTGTAGGGTTGGGGGATTTTTTGTAATTAAACTTTTTTATGAATCTGCACTGCAGAATTTTGCTAAGTGGAGTGAGCTGGAGGTGAGAAAATGATGTAGTGTGAAGTTAAACAGATACACTCCACTTGTAGCCATGGCCTTGCCACCAGCTGAGGAGGCACAGCAGTGTCTGTGGGGAGCTGAAGTACCTTGTACAGCGTCATAAATCCCTACTGGCCACCCTTCATTTTCACCTTCTTCCCTGTCCCCTTCCAGTGCCTAAAGCACCTCTCTCTGCTGAGAAACAGAGGGAGCCAATCCAGCTGCCAGCCTGAACTTTGTATTCCATACTAATGTTGGTGGAAAAGAGTTTCTTCCATTCTGCTGAACTTTTTTTCAGCTTTAATTTATCCTGTATCAGGACAAGACTAAGGGCTTTTAAATTCAGATACTGAAAGAGTGGGGAAAAAAGAATATGGACAGAGTGGGAATAATTCATAGCCCATTGTTTACTCTGCTGCTCCAGACTGTGAAGGGCTGGGTTCAGCTGGGACAGCTATCACCAACAGAATTGCATTTTGAGAGGACTGCCCCTATTTGAGTGGTATCCCTTTGTCTAAAGAGTTCAGTAGCCTGGCTGTGTCATCTCTGAGCACAAAAGCATCCCATGCAGGGCTGGCTCTGTTAAGGTAGAGTGGAGACACATCCTGAGGCTGCAGCATCCTACACAAATGTACTGTTAGTGCAGGTATTCACAGTCCATAGATAATTCTAATCCCATCTCTTATTTCTGCCTTTTTCTGTTCGTTTTTGGGGACAGTACTTCTTCTTACCTGTTTGGATTTCTACAACACAGTGTTGACCAGTCAGAAACCCATGTGTATTAATTTATGAATTTTCCATAATCTTTAGGCTGCAGATGCTACTAAGAGTGTCCTTGCGTCCCATCAGCTTGGGTATGGAAATGGGATTGGGCATTAAATCTGTCCAAAAAAAGTATCTAAGAGGAGACACTTGTGGGAATTCACCCTCCCCTAATTACAGTGGTTAACCACTTATAGTTTTGTCCAGAGAGGATCTGTCCTAATTTAAGTCAGGAAAAGAGAGCATTTATGCTGAATGTGACACAAAATAAATATGAGAGCTGTAGTTGGGAGGAGAGCATGCAAGACTTTGCTATGATTTGTGTTTGATTGCATTACACTGTATAGAGTGTCTCTGTTGGGGTTGGTTCTGCTTAAAGAAGAAAAATAGACAGTGGATTATTCCATTGTGTTCATTTCCTGAGAAGTCATTTAGGGATCTTCCTGGCTAAATGTCTTATGATGGAAAATTATAATTTTGTGGCTTCTCTGGCACTGGAACTTTGAGATGCCTGGAAGTCTGCTCCTGGGCAGAGCTGCCTGTGTTTGTGGCAGGATTTGTGTTGCCATGGACCAGACAAGGCTACAGTGACTGAGTGGAGAAATCCAGCTCAGGACACATGAATTCCAAAGGCCTCCTGGTTTAGGGCTAGGTCAGCTCTGGCAAAGGGAGGAAACTCCTCTGTGGCTTCTTAGAAACAGTCCCTGGGGTGAGCTTGGTGTTAATGCCAATTCAGCTCTCCAGTTATGAAGGATTTATCAGTTGCTGGTAAGCTCTGCATTTGTTTGTCCATCTACCTGGTTGCTGTTTCTGCCGAACAATAACTTTGCAGAGTATCCCCAGGAATTTGGGGAATTTATCCCTAGGAGTTAACTTTTGGCCTACACTTAGACTGATGTCAGAACCCCAGTAAGACTGGAGAAGCTTTGCTAGTTTTTAATTAATTAAATAAGAGCTAGCATTGAATTGGTCTCTTCTGTTTTATTGAATTTCCTTGAGAATTTGTATTTGAATGATTAACTGTGTTATTTCATCCTCTTCAGCTGTGGCAGATCTCCAAAGGATGTTCCCAACACCACCCTCTTTAGAACAGCACCCTGCCTTCTCCCCAGTGATGAATTACAAAGATGGAATAAGTTCAGAGACTGTGACTGCCTTGGGAATGATGGAGAGTCCTATGGTCAACATGGTTCCAACACAGCTGGCTGAGTTTAAAATGGAGGTGGAGGATGGATTAGGTAGCCCTAAACCTGAAGAAATTAAGGTAACATGTCAGAAACGTGGGATTTTTACAAAGTCCTCTATGCACACTTTGAGTTTTATAAACAAGTCCCATGTAGTGTGTGTAGCAACTAACAAATGTGAGCTGGACCTGTGTAAAGAACCTGTTAGCCTGGAGCTGGAAAAATATTCTTTTCTAGTAGAAGAGCTTTTTAATTGTTTCTCTGATTTTTAACTGTAGACATTTTGTAATATTATGTTTGTAGTGGTTCTGGGTGTTCTCAGGAAACAAACAGTATTGTCTGTGAAATGAGCCCTGTGCCTAACAGAAAGAATGTCCATGTGTGGAAAACCCCACACTTGTGGCTAAGTAGCTGTTAAATGATGTATTTCTTTAAATAATTTCTCTGTGGCACCTTTGCTGTGCCCCCCTCCCTGCTGCCAGGTTGGCACACAGTGGGATAAAGTGGTGCATGTAGAAAGGCTGACTTTATCTCTCTGAAATGTTCCTTTTTTGGTTAGGGTTGAAACTCTCTGAGAAAGCCCAGGGTTGAACTTGCTCTGTTTCTTCTTCAGCTGATGTTACTTCACAAGTTTTAAGGCCAGATGGGACCATTCTTATCTCACTTTCTGTATAACACAGGTCAGGTAATGTCACCTAGTTCCTCCTCTCTCGAGTCCTGTAGTGTCTCAGTAAAGAGCTGTTTGTAGCTGGGGACTCTGGGTTCCTGTGACATCCCAGTGTGGCCATTTCTCCATAGCATCCCATGGAGGGACCCAGCATCAGCACTGATATGCATTGGTTGTGTCATTGTTCCATCACAGGGTAAGAGCAGGGCACAAATCATTCTGCCTGTGTGTCCTGCATTACTGAACTTCTGGGGCTGCCTTTTGTCACCTTTGTCAGAAGGTACTGTTGCCATATTTCCATGCATACAGCCTGAGGGATTTTTTTTAAGTAAAAAAATGCACTTTTTGTGTGGAAATGCACAGCATGCTGTTCTGCAGCAAGCTGCTCTCTACACAAATAATAAGGGAGTAAAAAGGGAGATGCCCACTCTAACTCTGGCTTCTTAGTAGTCCCCAGCCTTTGATTGTATAGCCTAATTCTTCTCCTTCAGACCCACTCTGTCCCTCCTGTGCCACAGCCTTCCTTCTATTTCAGCAGCTGTGTCTCTCCCCAGCACCACCTCCTTCCCTCTCCTTTGTGCCCAGTTGGAATTGAGGGCTGATTTTTAGGGGTCTGCATTGCTGAGCCAGGGACACACTTGCAGCTGCATGGACAAGAAGTGGCTGTGTGTTGGTGTGAGGATACTGATGGATGCCTCTGTTCACTGTCAATGATGTGCTCAGCTGTCAGCCAGGACATTTTCCTGCCAGCAGGAATAGCATCCCTCAGGCAGACTGCAGGGGAGGCTGTGGCAAGTCCCACAGGGTGACTTCTTCCACAGGAGCTTTCAGTTTTGTCCCTGGGAGAGAAGGGAGTCCCTGTCCCTGCCAGGGAGCAGGACAGTGTGTGGGACAGCACTCCAGGGTTGTGCTGCCATGTTTTGGTGCCAGTCCAGGGTGTCCAGTCAGACCCCAGAATTCCCAGCTCCTTCCCATGCCAAGGGCTGAGCTGTGGGGAGCTTGTCCCAGCACTTGTGTGGAGAAAGGGACTTTGCAGATGTGGGGGGCAATTCCCAGTGTCCCTCCTGATGGCAGAACCCAGCTGGACATCAGGACATGGTGCAAGTCTGCTTTGGTACTGCCAGATCTCTCCTTCCTTCCTCCCTCCCTCCCTGAGCTCTCACTTGGAGGCGCACTGGGAAGAGGCACCTCCTCAGTGTGTGCTCCAGGACAGTCTCCATTGCCCATCTTGAGCTGGTGCATCCACAAGTTGTTATGCCACTACAAGGGTTTGAAATAAGTTTTTTTGATAAGGTTTGTAAGACTTTGCCTTGCCACAGACTTTGCTGGTTTTTCTCTTCTGCTTGTGCAGTAAATTGTTTATTCAAGAATAGGAAAACTTGGGCCTGGGAAAAAGAGAAGTCTGTCTTGGAATTTATTGAGCTGAAGGTTTTGGAGTGGGAGCAGATTTCAGGGCGTCACTGATACCAAAGATATTTTAATCTCCCTCACAGCCATTACAGGAGTATTAAAATACTTCAGTTCTGCCTGAGAACATTTCCAACAGCACAATTGACTTGCTTCTGTGTGTGTCACACCTGCTCATACACACCAGTGGGGAAAACAAGCACTAAACCCATTGCTGATCATCCTGAGAACATGGAAGCAGATTCCTTGTGCTGAGCATTCAGCAGCTGGAGATAGAAATCCACACATTCCTCATCCCTCAATGCTTGACAAGGTGCAAGGGAAAAAATGCAAAGGCTCTAATGAGATGTTAAATACTGAGACTGCTGTTACTGTTTTCATGCTGATTTTTACTTTGCAGTAGTGCCTCAAGAGGACTAATTCTGTTCTCCTGAAAGAGCTGGAATAGCTCTAGAAACTCTGGCTGAAGTTCTTGTCATCACTCTCTGCAAGCAAATGTGACAGTCACTGCAAGCCCAGCTGGGCTGAACTTCATTGATAGTTAATACTGTGTTTGCTGGATTGTTTAGATATTTGGATTTAACACTCCATGGAATGATTGGCAAAGTGTGCACTGTTATTGCCAAAGTGATGTGAGCCCCCACAGTGGGGGTTATTAGAGGCTGCCTCAAGGCACCTCAGGGTTCCTCACACTGAGACAGCCTCTCTTCACTGTCAGTACAGAAGTCTTGCAAAGATCAACCTTTTAAGTGCCTAAATGAGGTGCTAAAAGTTAGGTAGTGTGAAATTTTCATAGTGCACTACTCATGTTTCAGGCACAGCTTGTCTGAAATGAGCCTGATGCAATTGTGAAACCTCCTGCCATAAAGCTGTGCAGCATCTCAGGATAACAGGGAGCCTCAGCTGAGTTTCCTTGAAGGAACTACTCTTGAATACCTTGTAGAAGGAAGAGATATAGTTCATTTTGGGGGAAAGAGGTAATTGTAGAGGGTTCAAACAGTACAATAGATTTTAATTTTAAAAAATATCTAAAGAGCAGCCTGACCACGTTGTTGTAACCAAGGTCACTTGGTGTTACAGGATTTTTCGTATGTGCACAAAGTTCCATCATTTCAACCTTTCGTGGGCTCTTCCCTGTTTGCTCCACTGAAGATCCTGCCCAGCCAGTGCCTCCTACCTCTGAAGATTCCAGATGCCTGCATCTTCAGGCCTTCTTGGGCTGTCCCTCCAAAAATTGAACAACTTCCATTGCCACCTGCAGCCACTTTCATCAGAGATGGCTACAAGTAAGTACAGCCTTGGAGGAAATGGGGCTGTCAAGCCCATGCCTAAAGCTGGGTAAATAAAATGGTTGTTTGTATTGACAGTGCTTTAGCCTGCAAATGTATTTTAAACCTTTTAGGTTTGTCATTGACTGAGATCAAAACAGTTCTGAGAGCAGGAACGTTTAACCCTGGCTTTGGCAGTCAGGGGTGTTACAGTGTGTGTCCACTCTCGGTGCTTTTAAAAGAACAGGAACATGCAGTGCCTGAGTTAATGGTAATTTCTGATACAGGGAAATAATTGTAATTCAGCTGAAACCACAAGTGTTGGGGAACAAAATGAATGCACGGAACCCATCACATCTCTGCTGTCCCATTTCCATGTTCAGCCTCCAGCCAGGCTCCCTTGTGTCACTTTGAGCTCCAGCTGGTGATCTCTGGTCCTGGTGATTCCATTTGCCATTCTGAAGGCTCTGGAAATGTTGAGTGGGCCTGTGAGAGCTCCCCAGTCTGTTCCCATGGGAGCTCCTCTGAGCTCCTGTGGTGTCCCTGGGTGGGGCTGTGGGGAGCTGCTGATCAGACAGATGTTGGTCCATTCCTGTCCTGTCCCACCCTTCCTGATACCAAAAGAGGAGAGTGCTGTGACCTACAGGGAACCACTGACATTCATTTTCAAAGCTTGGATTCCTCACTCAGTTCTCAGAAATTAGCAATGTTTATGGAGGAAATTCATTGCTGGAGGTTTTGAAAGCTAGCAAGAATTGCACCATTAAATTAATAAAACCTCTTAAAAAGCATAGTAATAGTACAAAGGTCTCCTGCTGCACTACTTCACTTCTAGAGGAAGCAGTGTGTATCTTTAAATCAGTCTGTAAATCCTTTAAATCAGTCCTTTTGCAGCCCCAAAGGGTCCTTCAGTGTTCTCAAAAGAATTGCAAAGAAGAAATTGTAAACCCTTGATATAGTGCCTAGGGAGCAATTTAATTCTCAGGTTTTTTCATAATAGTAACTGATGCACCGGGCCTGAGCTGGTTATTAATTTCAGGTATTTGTTGGGGGAAAAAACCCTTTCATTTTCAATCTAATCCAATTAGAGTGAGGATTATTACTGCAGGCTTCCGACAGAGTGGTGATTGCCAATCAGGGTTTCTAGGTCACCTTTTCTTATTAGTCTGAGGCACACACTCTGCTGCAGCTCCACAACTCCTTCAGACCCTGCTTCATTATTTTCCCCCTCTCCTGCTCTGAGTTGGACACACATCCGTTCAAGGTAATAAAATGGTTGTAAGGAAAGAGGTCTTCAGTGTTTTCCTTTTCAAGTCATTAATGATAGGTGGGCATTCAAATGCTAGTTCTTTCCAATGACACACAAAATACACTGTGAGGACAAATATGGAAAAATCCTGTTTCCCCTTCCTTATCCAGAGACTCACTGAGATCTTACACTCTTTCCTTGTTCTAATATGTAATTAACACATTACAAGAAAAGTAAGCAGGTCAGAAGTGATGTGGAAAGAGAAAAGTAAGATCTTTTTCTTTGATTTGTCCCTTTTTACCTGTTTATTGAAATGAATCCTTGCAGATAGAAGACAGATCTCATGGGAATGTACAAATGGTTCTGTGGTCACTTGAATTTGGCAGGAAATGACAAAAACAGAGTAATAAAACTCAGTCATGAATGGGGATAACCCAAAAATACGATTCTTAGCTTTACTGGACTAAGAGTTTGTAATGGAACATATCCCATTGTGCCATAGACTGTGTAATCCAAAATGAGGATTTGAATTTATAGAATCAGACATACAGAATGTGTCCACAAGGTGACACCATGTATCAAAGCCTCATGTATGACTTTTGACAGCCATTTCAAGTGATCATTTCTAAAATAGACTTCTGTCTCTCTGAAATACTTTCATTCCTACTAATCTGTATCTCTTTACAGATACTGTTTAAAATAAAAGCTACTATTCTTTCTTTTTTCTCTAAAAAAGTTGCAGACATTCTAAATCTTAACTTGATCATTTATCTAGAAAATGTTCTCAAGACCATTTGAGTTTTAAGCCATAAGGATGATCTTTAAGAGAGTGAAGTAATACATTTTATCACAATGATAAGAAACAGTGGTGAGAATTCTGAGTTCTGCTGAGAGCCATGGCTCAAGGTTATGACCAGAGTATTCTATACTGCAGTTTCAGTGAATCCCTTCAGGTTCCACTATCTCCATGTATTTAAAAATGAGCTTTGACAGAACGGGTCTCTGTTCCCATCCCTCCCCTGCAGCAACGTGCCCAGCGTGGGCAGCCTGGCGGACCAGGACTACCTGCAGATGAGCACGCCCCAGATGAGCACGCCGGTGACGCTCAACAGCGCGGCCCCCGCCAGCAACAGCGGCGCGGGGGTGCTGCCGTCGCCGGCCACGCCGCGCTTCTCGGTGCCCACGCCGCGCACGCCGCGCACGCCCAGGACTCCCCGGGGCGGGGGCACCGCCAGCGGCCAGGGCTCCGTCAAGTACGACAGCACGGACCAGGGCTCCCCCGCCTCCACCCCCTCCACCACGCGGCCGCTCAACTCGGTGGAGCCGGGCACGGTGCAGCCCATCCCGGAGGCGCACAGCCTCTACGTGACCCTCATCCTCTCCGACTCCGTGCTCAACATCTTCAAGGACAGGAACTTCGACAGCTGCTGCATCTGCGCCTGCAACATGAACATCAAGGGCGCCGATGTGGGGCTGTACATCCCCGACTCGTCCAACGAGGATCAGTACCGCTGCACCTGCGGCTTCAGCGCCATCATGAACCGCAAGCTCGGCTACAACTCCGGGCTCTTCATCGAGGACGAGCTGGATATTTTCGGCAAGACCTCGGACATCGGCCAGGCTGCAGAAAGGCGACTGATGATCTGCCAGAGCAACCTGATCTCGCAGATGGGAGAGGGAGCCAGGAGGAGCCAGGAGCCTCCCATGAGCCTCCTGCTGCTGCTGCAGAACCAGCACACGCAGCCCTTCACCTCGCTGAGCTGCCTGGATTACATGGCCTCCAACAACCGCCAGACGCTGCCCTGTGTCAACCTGAGCTATGACCGGCTGCAGGCTGACAGCAACGACTCCTGGGTGGAATGTTTCAATGCCCTGGAGCAGGGCAGGCAGTACGTGGACAACCCCACGGGGGGCAAGGTGGATGAAGCCCTTGTCCGAAGTGCCACTGTCCATTCCTGGCCTCACAGCAACGGTACATGCACAGCTGAGCCTTTTGTCTCTGAATGTGTTGTGACCTCTGTAAATTTGTTTAGTTGTGACCCACATCATCTTTATGTGGGAAATGACAGGACTAAAAATATACTAAAGTAGATATCTGAAAGCTTGTAAATTACATCTAAAGTATCAATAATCTAGTTGTCCTCAGGCTTTGTGGCCTAAATTGGGAATGAGTCTGTGGAAGTTCACAAATCTGAAGCAGATTCAGGTATTTGGGGGGAGGGAAAATTAGGGGTCCTTCTTGATTTTGGAGAAGGGTATAAACAGCAGAAAAGAATTGCTCTGTTTGAATAAGGGGGGGAAAGGGGGGGAAAGTACCAAGGGGGGGGGGATAATAATTAAATATTACTTGTTTGTATACTGAAGATATATAGCTCTGACATCTTGTGACCTGAGCTGGACACCAGTGATACTGAAATGTGTGTGTAAAGGCCTGTGGTGACAGCAGTGTTTTTGAAAATGCCATGAAATGGCACATTGAGTACTATCCACCTAATTAGAAGTGTCCAAATTCCATGGGCAGTGTGCAGAGCAATTCAAGGAACAATCTACAAAAGCTGTTGCTGTGTCTGAGGGATTGCTGTCCCTGCCTGAAGTGATTGCTGCTCCTTGTCCCTTGCAGTGCTGGACATCAGCATGCTCTCCTCCCAGGACGTGGTGCGCATGCTGCTCTCCCTGCAGCCCTTTCTCCAGGATGCCATCCAGAAGAAGAGGACAGGAAGGACCTGGGAGAACATCCAGCACGTGCAGGGACCACTCACCTGGCAGCAATTCCATAAGATGGCAGGACGGGGGACCTATGGTACCTACACTGGGCTCTGTGCCAAGCTAGAGTGCAGCTTCTTAGAAATGGGCACTTTGTTCTGGAAATGACAGGAAGGGGCTGTTCATACAGCTTGGGGTCATGGGGTGGGGGGCTCTTCACAGAGGTTTCAAGTGCCTCAAAAGGCCTTTGTGACACCCTGGTGAAGATTTTACCCCTCCAGGTGATGCACATTTACAGGGAGCAGAAACTGTGGGTGAGGCTCAGCTCCCCACCTGAAGGGAGTCTGGCTCAGACCAAAGCAGGGTTAGACCAGGGTTAGGTCAGACCAAAGCAACCTGGTGTAAACAAAATGGGAGCAGAGGGAGCTGCTGAAATCAGCCTCATCATAATGGGAACAGAGCCTGTGTGAGCTCTGCAAATCCTGAAAAACTGGGAATGCTTTCTCCATGCAGGTTCCTGTAGCCTTAATGAGAAGCTTTCAGTATCTTCTGGCTGTTAGTGGCACTTCTGTAAAATGCAAAATAAAAAACCAGACTTTGTGTGTGTAGGTTTACAGAATAACGACTGACATTTCAATCTGTATTTCTTGCTTGCAGTTTATTTCAGGCTTAACCAGTGCAGTCTGGTTTAATGTTTTTCCTACCAGCTCCACCACACTTTGCTCCCTGTTGGTATTTGATATATTGCTCCTTTCCTTGGGGCTGGGACAACTGGGGGTAACTCCAGTTCCTGTCTAAAGCTGTTGTGCCCCACCAGCAGCACTTCTAATAGTTTTACCAGCATTTGTAATTTGAAGAGTTAGGATTTGCCAATTGTTACCAGAGAATAGCACCAAAATTCCCATAGAGTGCAGAGCAGAACCTTTGATGAAAAGTCAGTGAATTTTCCTGGATGCTGACTTTTTAATAAAGTTGAATTATATTCTGTAGGAACTACTAGGTATATTTTAGTTTGACATTTTCAGCAATATTTCTTCTACTGAGGCAGTATCTGGGAGACACCCTGTTACACAGGGTAATAATCCTCTCTGTGGGGACAGCAGTGCTTGGAGCACATCCTATGGAGAAGGGCAGGAGGCAATTTTTAGAATTATAGCTTTGTGTAGTATTATATACCTGGGAATGAATTTCTCTAAGCCTCAGTAATTTTGCACACCCAGGTGGAGGTGGATGAAGAGCTGTAAGGTCACATTTTGTGTGTTCCTGTTATTACTTGTGACTGAACAGGAACTCCATGACTATGGTTATAGATATGACAAAGGAAAACCAGGAGATGAAGCCTCGGGAAGGGCAGTACATGAACTTGGAGTACACTGGGAGATGTTTTATTGCAGCTTTCTAGGAAAGTTTAAGTGGTGCTTGGATCAGCTCCCTCTACTTTGGCCAACAGCTTTGATTATATGACATTCCTTAAGTATGATATAAATCTTCCCTCTCCTTTATTAAATATCTTTTCCAAGAAGAAAGGCTGGGAGCATGTGGTTTGTCAGGCATGGCACACCCTTGATAACCATTTCCACTCCATGATAAACATGCAGGACACTCAGAACAGCAAGGGATGAGTGATTTCCAGTATTCCTGTAAAAGAACCCACTTCCTGGGCCATCAGAGACCCACTGCAGTTAAACCAGATATTTTAACATTTTTTCTTTGTTTGTTTTTTCTCCTCTGAAGGCTCTGAGGAATCTCCTGAGCCTCTCCCGATCCCGACGCTGCTGGTGGGCTATGACAAGGACTTCCTGACAATCTCTCCCTTCTCCCTGCCCTTCTGGGAGAGGCTCCTGCTGGACCCCTACGGGGGCCACAGGGATGTCGCCTACATCGTGGTGTGTCCGGAAAATGAGGCCTTGCTCGACGGAGCCAAAACTTTCTTCAGGGACTTGAGTGCTGTATACGAGGTTGGAAAGAGGGACCACACTGAATTATTGCTTCTTAAGTGTCATTGCTGTTCCAGTGCATGTCCACTGGGAGAAATCTATGGGCTTTAAAGTAACAACTATTAGAATAAGTGTTTGGTTTTTTTAATTTTGAGGGCTTTCTGCACTTTCAGAGTCCACAAATGCTGTCTGAGTGACACTGGGATTCTCTGGGCATTTGGGAGTGTTTGTTGCTGTCTGCTCTTCCTAGCAGCATTAATAGAGCTGCAGCTTCCCAGTGATGGCCCAACCAAGCCTAAAGAGCAAGGAGCACATTAAAGAAGCTGTTGGTTTCTCACAGTTGCTAGGCTGGGGATAAAAGCATTTTATTTCTTTAGCATGTACTCCCCAATATGTCAGATTCCTTAGTTTTGCTGTGAGTGCAGTTCAAGCCAGTAGATAAATGTAACCTTTTCTTTTTTATCTATTTATTAAGAAGCCCCTAGCTGTGTGTTGAGAATGAGGGGCTTAAGCCCCAAACCAGTCTCTGTAACATCCTGGGGTGGCTGGCATTTCCTTACAGGCATTTGTGCTTCCCTCCCCTGGCAGATGTGCAGACTTGGGCAGCACAAGCCCATCTGCAAAGTACTGCGGGACGGGATCATGCGGGTGGGCAAGAGCGTGGCGCAGAAGCTGACGGACGAGCTGGTGAGCGAGTGGTTCAGCCAGCCCTGGGGCTCCGAGGACTGTGACAATCATTCCAGGCTCAAGCTCTACGCGCAGGTCTGCCGCCATCACCTCGGTGAGTGACACCCCATGGCTCTGGGCACTGCCAGGGGCATCTGCAAACCCAGGGAGAGTTTGGTAAAGGTGCAGATTATGGTCTGTTTAAAAATTTTAAAGATGTTACAAGGCTTTGTATTTGTATTTACACAGTTTGGCCAGAGAGCAGAAGGTGTCAGTACCAGCTTAAAGTCACAAAGCTCTGCAAAGTCAGTCCTGGTTTTAAAGACAATTGATTCGTATCACTTCGAACTGACACCCTGAGAAATGGATTCCAAAGCAAACATTGGTCATGGAGATTCAGTTCTCTTAGCATTTGTGTACACTTAGAATGTTGTAAAAGTGCAGTGAACGTCATCCGATTTGCAGGCTGATGCAGGTTCCTTTGATCTGACTGTCATTAATCCCTCTCTTTCCATGCCATTCCAGCACCTTACTTGGCCACCCTGCAGCTGGACAGCAGCCTTCTGCTGCCCCCCAAGTACCAAACGCCGGCTCCGAGCCAGCCGCAGGCAGCTCCCGGGAGCTCGGGGCCCGCTCCCTCCAGCTCCTCCTCGTGTCTCTCGGCCGCCGCTGGGGCCCCTGCCACGGGCAGCTCCTTCAGCTCCACGCCCAGCGCGGGCACCACGAGCCTTCCGGCGGGCAGCGCGTCCTCCTCGGGCTCCTCGGTGCCACAGCTGTCAGCGTCCTCTGCCACGCCCGGCGCCAGCCAGATGGGCGCCTCCTCCACGCCGGGCTTCAGCGGCAATGCCGGCTCGGGGCAGAGCAGCAGCGCCGCCGGAGGCTCCGCCGAGCGCTCGCAGGGCAGCGCGGGCACCGGGGCGGACACCGAGCCCGGCCCCAACCTGCCACAGCAGCAGCAAGAGGGACAGGAGGGGTAAGCGCTCACATGGGCCAGAGTGCTGCTCACTGATCCCCTGTCATGTGCTCACACAGCCTCTAAGCCTTAGGGAAACCCTTCAAAGGAGAGGCCCCTCTGACAGGTGCAGCACAGCCGAGCAGGTGGAGCAGAGCAGGGCCTGTTCCTGTGTGAAGCAGTCACTGACAAAGGGAAGCTGGAAAAAACACCCTCCCCTTTTCCATCACAAGAATCCCAGCCTGATTGAGCTGCATGGATGTGGAGCTGCCTTAGGACCCTCCACCTGCCCTGTCCTTGCAGCACCAGGAGCACATGGGGTGTGCTCCACCTGTGGCTTGGCGCTTGCAGGTACCCCATGGAGCTGAGTGCCTCTTGCTCCATCACACATGCAACATTAACAGATGCAAAATGCAAGCCATGGATTTATTTTTTTCCTAATTTTTTTGCATTGCAGGTGTTGTTTTTGCAAGCAGGCACACTGTAAGGTCAGGAGATACAACTGTAGCCCTGTTACTTTAAAATACATTTGGGCAGCACAACTTTTTTAAAGACTTCATTATGAATAGCCATCCATCACATAAAAATTAAGAAAAGGTTTTTTAGCATTGTATGTAAGTGACTTCCTGAGGCAGCATGTTTTTCATTACTCTTATAATAATGGACATTGCTGATGGTCCTGGTGTGTATTACAGAGAGGGAAATGCCCACATCCTGCTGTAGCTGGGCTTGTCCTTCAGACATCTGTTGCCTGATCTGTGCAAAACACCCTCTGAGCAGCTGCAGGGGCTTCTGACAGAGGCTGAGCTGCTTTGATCACTTACAGATGTTGAGCCTCGCTCTCCTGGCTGAGGCATGGGAGGAGCATTTTACCAAGTAAGAAATTCTCAATTGCTCGTTCTGTTGCCGTTGGAGTCTTCCCTGGACCTGAGCCCGACCCCAGGCTCCAGGAATTGCTTTGATACTTCTAAACTCCTACTCTTCCCCTTCCACCTCTCCCAAAAGCAAACTCTGAACTGCACCAAAACACAGACACACAGCTAAGAAGTCAACTTTTCCATATTCTTCAGGTATAATGTGGTCTGATTTAATTCAGTGAGATGCTGTTAGACTGTAGGGTACCTTTAGTGCCTGATTAACCCCAGGTATTTCGGGTTGGGAGCTGCTGCGATCACAACTCATCTCAATGCCTGTCCTCACGGGTTTGAGTTTTGCTTTTGGATGTCAGAATTGCTTGTGCTTTCCTTCCCCCTGGCCCCAGCCACAAGCAGTAGTGACGTGTGGCTCTGTCCCCAGCACGTCGGAGCGGGAGCGGATCGGGATCCCCACGGAGCCGGACGCTGCCGACAGCAACGCCTACCCCCCTGCTGTGGTCATCTACATGGTGGATCCCTTCACCTACACTGCCGACGAGGAGTCTGCCTCCACCAACTTCTGGCTCCTGAGCCTCATGAGATGCTACACAGAAATGTTGGACAATTTGCCTGAGAATATGAGGAATTCTTTCATTCTCCAGGTAATTCTGCCTTCCTCTGTATCTTCACGCTGAGTCTCTGTGTCACAGCACACCCATGATATGGACACTGTGCTGAAAGAGATGAATGAGAGATAATGAATGAAATGTAGGTGGCATTTACAAATTATTTTGTTGACAGTGCAAGGCTGTAGATTAAAACAACCCCCTTGTGTTTGTGTTGATGAGGAAATTATTTAAAGCAGCTGCAGTATCCCTGCATCGACTCTGTCCCGTGGTCCCAGCAATCCTGGCTGCTCAATGCTTCCTGGAGAGGAGTTTCAATTATTTAAGTTGTAACTTGAGTTGCCATTGCCAAAACTGGCCAGTTGCTCCTTTGATTACTTTACATGTTGAGTTGTTTGCTGTTTATATTCCCTTGATTTATACTATTTAATCCAAAAGAAGTACGTGAAACCAGACATTTAATGTATAATATAACTATTGTATTGTTATTATCTGCTTCTTAAAAATAATTTACCATGTAACTTGGCATATAAAAACAGTTACTTACTATGGAATTGCTGAAGAATTTAATTTGTGCAGCCAGAGGCAGCTCTTGGCCTCTTGCCCAGGCTGGCTGCGTTTTGCCAGGCCTCCTGTCACAGAGGCTGAGCCTCAATAAATGTGGGGGGATTGGGAGCCCAGAGGCCACAGGCAGGAACAGTGTGGGAAGGATTTCTGTGCACCTTATCCACATTTGCTCACCTTGGTTTAAAGGTATTTCAAATTAGTTTAAAAAAAATAAAATTGGAAGTTCTTGTGGTGTCTCAAGCTGGCCATGGAAAACTGTTGTTTTTGGTAGTTTTGACCTCATTTGTCCCCTGAAAGGATGGAGGAAACTGTCACCAAAATATTTTAGGCTTAGGAATGAGATGAAAATCAGATCCACAACTTCCTCTTGTTAGGCTGCAGGTAACTGATTGATCCAGACCTGGAGACACTAAAACCAAAGCAGCCACTGACACCACAGTGTCTGGCACACAAGAACTGTGTAACCTCTGCACTGCCATTGGAGCTGAGGCTGTGGCACACTGACCCTTTTTCTCAGTGCTGTTTGTTTCCACATTCACTGTTTGTTCCCCAAAAGACATTTTGCCAGTTGAAGTCAAAACAGCAATTTTCTCTAAGTCAAGGGAAACATTATCCAGTTCCAGCACTGTATCCTCACAGCTGTACCACAGCACACACAACATGCAGTTACTTCAAAATAAATCAAACCCAAATGTTTGCAGCTTTATTACCACTCCTGTACAGAGGGGGAAAGCCCAGCTCCTGAAATCCTTGGTTGAAGCTGGCTTTTAAAAACACACAGGCACATTTAGTAAGCAAAATGTGCTGCCATGGTTCTGACGGTTCAAGCAAGAACCATAAAGTAGTTAAAGTTTTGTGACACTTAAGTTTTATTACTACTGAAAATATTTGCTGAAAAGAATCTGTTTGGGTCTCATAGTGCTGGCAACAAAGTAAATGCTTTATATTGACAGCTTCTGCTCCAAAAATCTCACTGTAAAAGGAAAGACTTTAACAACCACAAGTAGGACTTGTACAATAAAAACAGTAGATAAAAACAGTGAGGTTACAGGGATTTAATTCTAATTTTAAAATAGGTTTGATCTGAAAACTGGGATTTTGTCATGCTTTGTTTCCTTCTGAAGGAGTGTTGTGCCATTTCTCCTTCCTGCTCTTGTTGTGTCGTTGGGTCTTTACCCTCAAACTCATCTCCCAGGCAAATCTCCCTGTAGCTCTGGTTCTTGCTGGTTGAAACCTTGTGGGCTGCTTCCCTTGACTTTCTGAAACAAATGAAATGGAGCAGCAGCTGAGGCTGCTGAGCTTCCACTGGGAACTAAATTGAAAAGGGGAAATAACCACACAAATCATTGTTATAGAATCTTAATTGTGCTCTCTACACCCCTGTGTAAGGATGACACCACATACCCAATTCCCACAAGGACAGCAAACAATTCCTGACCATGAGCCAGGGAGCCAAACCTGCCTGAACACAATGTTCAGGGACGGTGTGGCTCTGACCACCTGCAAGTGAAGATGTTGCCCAGAAAAACACTTGTAAAAAATTCAGGGTGTTTGAATACAAGTGTTTGGGTTTTATGGATTAAAATTCACTCTCATTGTGATGGAAGCAGTTTTGTCCCAGAGAATGCAGCCCCTGTCTGCTGCAGCCACTCCTGCCAAGGGACCTGTCATGCAAATCGTGGAGCATCCCGAAGTGTGCTGGGTGTTTGGTGACTGATGACTGTGTGGATCTGGTTGGATATTAATGAGCAGCTCCTGGAAGCCTCTCAGCCCTGTTTTATTGTGTGTCTGAATTCCACAGATTGTGCCTTGCCAGTACATGCTGCAGACAATGAAGGATGAACAGGTTTTTTACATTCAGCACTTGAAGTCTCTGGCATTCTCTGTGTACTGCCAGTGCAGGAGGCCCCTGCCCACACAGATCCACATCAAGTCCCTCACAGGCTTTGGGCCAGCTGCCAGCATTGAGATGACCCTCAAAAACCCTGAGGTTGGTATTGGTGGCAAGAAAATCAAAGTCTGTTAATGAACTGTAACCACTTTCCTCTAATATCAAAGAGTAGAGAAAATACTTGTTGGGGGGTTTTTTTTCAAGATATAGAAGACAATGATGATACAAAGGGAAAAGGCAAGCTAATATGGAATAGAAAATAGTAACAAAAACATTAGGCTAACTTGCTACATTTTAAGCTTCTAGTTTTGACTCATAAAGTAAAAGGTTAAAGTGTGAAAGAAGAGAAAATGAACATAGTTAGTTGGGATTCTGAGTCATTTTGTGGTTTCAGTCTATAGTGCTCCAACCAGAGTTTAAACCCAACCTTTATTTCTATTCACATCTATATGCATATATATGAAATAAGTTCCTGTGCCTAATTGCAGATGTTATATTAATTCCCTGAGGTAATGGAGAAATCCCCCTCTTCGATGGGCTTATCTTTTATCTATTTTAAACTAAATATTAAAGCCCTGATTCTGAAATCTCAGGGATTTCAAAGGAAGAATAATCCATCCTACTTTCTATGAATGTTTTGCATTCTTTGAAAGATAACTATGAATATTTTATTTAGATCTAATGGACCAGCAAAACACTTAAACATTTACCTTGGCATAAAGAGCTACTTGGGAGGGTTTAAAAACCTACTTGCAAAGCCAAACCTATTGGCATTTACTTATTGCATTTAATTAATCTCTGTTTATTGCATTTTATATATTTTCTCTCAGTCTGCACTGCAGACTCCCAAACTTTGCTGAAGAATTAAGAAAATACCCTGACTGTTTTTTAATTATGAAATGTCTGGTGAGGCCCTTCCTATGTGTTCTCCAGAGAGGAGTTCCAAGGCAAAGATGGGTTTGGGGTGCCCATGTGGGAAGCAGCTCTGCAGAAGATGACCTGGAGGTGCTGTTGGACTTGATGGATGCTCCCAAGGAGCAGCAGTTGGGCTGCCTTGGGAAGGTGCTGCAGCCCAGCCAGGGAGGTGCTTGTCCTCCTCCCTTCTGGGCTCCTCAGAACAAGAAACCTGGGTACACTGGAGCAAATGTAGCCAAGGGTCTAAAGATGATTAAGGGACAGGAGGACCTGACAGCTCAGGGGGTTTAAACTCCTGCCTGTGTCAGGGACTGGTCCAAAGACTGCTTTCATATCCTGGGTTACCTGTACATAAAAAGAAATCTTTAGATAAGGTTTGAACACATCAGCTTTAACTGGCAGCAGTGAATTGTCTATAAGCCCCCTTTTCCCAGTCTCCCTCCTGACTAGGAATGCTTTGAATTTACTCATTGTTTCACACTTGCCTGTCTCTGTACTCGCTGCCAGTGTGTGTGTGTTCCTTGTGTTCAGTAGTTTCTGATGTATCCCCTGATGGTTGTGCTGACTCTTTTGCAGAGGCCCAGCCCAATCCAGCTGTACTCACCTCCTTTCATCCTGGCCCCCATCAAAGACAAGCAGACAGAGCTGGGAGAGACGTTTGGAGAGGCCAGCCAGAAATACAACGTGCTCTTTGTGGGGTACTGCCTGTCCCACGACCAGCGCTGGCTCCTGGCGTCCTGCACCGACCTGCACGGGGAGCTGCTGGAGACCTGCATTGTCAACATCGACCTGCCCAGCAGGTACCCCCTGCCCCTGGCTTCTCCCATGGATCCATGGCTGGAGTCATCCCTCACCAGCTCCTTGCACATCCCTTCCATCCCCTTTCCTGCTCAGGAGATCGTGCTGGTGTTACAGTGAGAACATTTCAGTTGGCGCTTCCAGATTTTCAGATCTGTACAGGGAAAAGTGACTGAGTTACACTTGTTTGCCAATTTGTTTTAAAATATTTTTGCTTAGAATTCTTACCTTGAGGAACACCTGGTGTGTTGTTCAGCAGTTTGATGGCACTGCAGTAACAGTGTTGAAAGCAGACACATAGTTTTTCTTGTTAGTAGTAGTAAAAGGTAAGTTAGGGACTGCCCAGAACTCTGTAGGTGGTAAACTGTGACGTAATTAGAGAGAACAGAAATCTGAATATTGTCCTTGATTGTCCTCTCACTCTTGTGTTTAATTCCTTCCCCTGCAGGTCAAGGAGGAGCAAGCTGTCTGCCCGGAAGATCGGGCTGCAGAAGCTCTGGGAGTGGTGCATTGGCATTGTCCAGATGACATCCCTGCCCTGGAGAGTCGTCATCGGCCGCCTGGGCCGCCTGGGCCACGGGGAGCTGAAAGGTGTGCAGTTGTCAGGGCTGCCACTCCCAGGGTGTGCAGTGGGACAGGGACCCAGGGTACAAGGCAGGGTGGCTCTGACCTGATCACAAACCTGTCAAAATTGAGAGTGATAATCACCTAACCACAGAATTGTTTAGGTTGGAAAACAGCTCTCAGCTCATCAAGTCCAACTGTCCCTCAGTACTGCTGAAGCCATCACTGATCCATGTCCCCAAGTGCCACATCCACATAGCTTTTGAACACTTCCAGGGGTGGGGACTCAGCCATTGCTCTCAGTTTTGCATCACCTGCAGACTTGCTGAGACTCTGCCATCACACAGTGGCGTTAGATGGGGTGAATTTGGCTTAACCTTCCCAAGTCCTGTCTCTGCTTCCTAGAGCCATGAACTTAGAAAAGGGAAACAAGGTGTGCCAAATTCTATCACAGACAGGATAGACTGTTGTTTATTTTGCCAGAGTTGAGTGAGGGCAAACATGGATGGGAAGCCAGATATCCAGGCTTCTCAGGCAAGGCTCCTTAGGAGTTTAAAATCAACGCCAGAGCTGCTGAAGCCCTTTCTCTCCCTTTGTCCCCATTGTTGTCTTGATAGTGATGCCCACTTGACCAAGTGGATCTGAGTGTAAAGTACCTGGCAGAGAAATCATCAGGATCCTCCAAACTGGAATTTCCTGGGCCATGACAGCATGGATTACAGCAGAGCTGGCTGCAGTCCTGCCCTGGCACTGAATTCCTGTATTGGTTTCCATAAACCTTCCCTTGCTTGTGCCCTGGGTCTGATGCTACTCCCTCGTGTTGTGCAGGATTTGCACACTGTCCTTCCAAGGGATGTTGGGGGCCTTATCAGAGGTTAGAGAAAGTTGTGAATGAAGTTATCCTGACACAGAAATAGAGACAGGATTCAGCTGTGATTCCTCAACTTAAACATCACTAAGCAAACAAAAAGGTCTTTGGAAAAAATGTATTGAACAAAGGAAAGTCAGCAGACTGCCAGGGAATAACAACATGACCCAGGAACTCACTCAGTTTGCAGGGCCAGACCCCTCGTGTGCACAGGAGTCAGTCCTGGAGAGTTTGGGATTAGGGAAATGCCAAGTGTTGGGAAAGTTTTGCTGTTTCCAGGCGGGTGCTGGCTCTGCATCAGCTCTGTGCTCCCATGATGTTTTCCCTTGCAGACTGGAGTATCCTGCTCGGGGAGTGCTCCCTGCAGACAATCAGCAAACAGCTGAAGGAGGTTTGCCGCATGTGTGGCATCTCTGCAGCAGATTCCCCCTCCATCCTCAGTGCCTGCCTCGTTGCCATGGAGCCACAGGGATCATTCGTGGTGATGCCAGGTATGTTTTAGCCAACTCTGGCAATGCCAGAAAAACTGTTCTTTTATCACGTTTCCCACTTAGGCACATTAATCTTGGGATTTCTGTGAAGAACTTGACTGTCATGGCTACGTGTGGCAAAAAACAGGTTGAGCCAGCAGAATTCCCCAAAATACCATGGAGAGATGTTATGTGAGGAGAGCAGTCTCCTGAGGGAAGGTGACTGTAGGCCACTGCCAAAGTGCTGATCTGTTCCCTGAGGAGCCCGTGGGCTCAGGCAGCCCAGTTCCCATGGGCTGGAAGTGGTGTCACAGACAGCCTCGTGCCTGGAGGAGGTGCAGTGGGAATGAGTAGGAGCCTGTGGAAATGGGAATTAGAGTAAGCCCATTTGCCTTCTCACATGCTGAAGTTATTTAGAGAGTTCACTTACAGAGAGAGTTCACAAGCAGCAGTCCACGGGCTTAAGTTAAAATGAAATTTAATGCTGAGGTTCCCTTTGTTGTTTTACCCAAGCTTTTACCCATACTTTTTAATGTATGTGGTGATACATCCTTAACATATCCTTACAAACCACTCTGGGGTTTTTTAAGTTTAGAAAGAAAAGACTAATACAGAGCAGAATTAATTGAGCTTGAAAATTACTTATCATGTTGAATATTTTCAAAGCAGAGATTTTGTAATGTGAGAAAACAGATGGCAAATGAGGCTTTTTTCATATCACAGTAAAACACAAAGAAAGACCCAAATCCTTCAACAGATTTTTTTTCCTTTAGATCCTGACACATAATTAGGTCAACAGCAAGCAAAAATTATGTTAAAATTGAAGGTGCTGACTAAATACTGCCAAAGAATGTGTCTCTGCATTGAGTATTTGCACCTTCCAAGTTAATTGTTGGTGGGTAATTGAGAAGAATAGAACAGGAGGAGAGAGAAATTTTATTGTTGTGTGGCTTTATTTTTGTGTTTGTGTTCATATCGACCAAAGTGGGGTGTATTTCATAATTCTACAGAGATGTGTGCGAAAAATCAATTTAACTTGCTCATTTAACAAGTAAATATTTGATTAAAGGCCAGCAGAATGACAGGAGAGGTGGGGCTGGTGATCTTAATGTCAAGCTTGTGCAGCAATGTAATCTTTAGAAGATAAGGCCCTTGAGCATTGTCTGTGCATTTGCAGAGCGGGTGGGATGGCAGAGGTGTCCCTGGACACGTGTTTGGGAGGTGATGCAGTGACACCTGTGCCGTTGTGTCTGTCCCCACAGACGCGGTGACGATGGGCTCGGTGTTCGGGCGCAGCACGGCGCTGAACCTGCAGTCGTCCCAGCTCAACACCCCCCAGGACGCCTCCTGCACACACATCCTGGTGTTCCCCACCTCTGCCACCATCCAGGTGGCACCTGCAAATTACCCCAACGAGGATGGCTTCAGCCCCACCAACGGTGAGTGAGGGGAGATCCCCTGGGGCCTTTCCAGGGCATCAGCAGAGCTGAGCTGGGCAGGAATGAACCCCAGGGGAGCCGGGGTTCTGCACAGACCCCACACCGCCCCTGCAAGGGAACCCTGTAGGGGTTTAGCTACAGGGGGAGACTCTGTGCTCTCCCTGAGTGTGTTTTGGAGTCACACTGGTTTATTCCAGAAGGGACAAGGACCAGCCAGTGCACCAAGTGGCACAGGCCAGAATGTGCTTTGTCTTGTTGTGACTTGCTCAGGCCAGCCACTGATTTCCAATCGTGCTTTGCATCGTGCCCTGTTGTGTGCAGAGCTGACACAAAGGAGGCACTTGTGGTTGAGTAGGGAAAATATCCCAACCTGAGATTTCCTGATGCCCCCAGAGTGCTTTTACACTGAACCTGCAGTTTGAGTCAGCAAGACTCTGGTTAATGCTTTATATCCAAATAAGCATTTTCCTGCTTTGTTCCAAATCCTTTAAATGAGTGCAAAGCAATTTAAACCAAGAGTAGCTACAAACATGTACAGTGGCTGTATTAATGAAGAGGGCAGTTGGGCTGGAGACAAAGGCAGGCTACTGCTTTTAAGGCTTTGATCTGTCCCTCCTGGAATGTCCCAGGGCCTCTGAAGGGAAGTTGTCCCTCTCAATCCCTGTCCCAGGAGGCACTGGGATCCCTCCCAAGCATGACAAACATTAACCTGCATTAACCTGCCCGTTGGTGCTGCAGATGTTAATTAGAGTCAGGTACAAGAATGGCCTTTTCCAAAATGGTGTTAAATTTAATTTTCTTAACTCTGCTCTACTTAATGATTAAGCTGCTTCCTCCTGCCATTAGCCAGCTCATTTCTGCTCTAGGGGCCAAGCAGAGCATGATATTAGCTCTGGTTTGTTTACTGAGGCTGTAGGACACGAGTTAATAAACTTCAGTTATAACATTGCTCTGGCAATCCAGAGGTTCTCTTTGGGAGATGAAGGAAAACAACCACCTGCCTGTTTCAATACTGAGGTTTTAGGTGAAATTAGTTCAGGACACACATAATTTTCCATTTTAAATGGAGTAAATTAATCTTTTTCAAGAGAAGTTGTTATTTATTGTTATATGCAGGATGCATTACTTCTATTTAGGGCTTTGTGTTTTAGTATAAATTTGGTTACAATTCTAATTAATGCAGTTAATTCAGACAGCTCCCACTGTACGTGTCTACCCACTAAAATGTACTTTAAATGGCAGCATGCACTTGGATTTCTTCACCTGCTGAGAAATCTGGATAAGAAAAACCCTGTAAACCATATTGTGGTGCTGTAATTTTTGGCTGTGTTGATGGTGCCATATCCTTCTCTCCCATAACTTACTCAGAGTATTGTAACCTGTGTGCAGATGATGAGTAATGGAATGCATAAGGCAAACACATCTTCCCTGTGTCTTTCGCCCTCCCCCTATATTAACATAAACCAAATTAATCCAGCCGATTATACTAACGAGCTGTGTGGAACTCCTGAGGTGAATGTGGGATATGAAGGCTGCTTTGTTGGGGATCCTGGTGCAGTGTCTGAAAGAATCACGAGTCCCTTGCTGTGAGGAAGGCCTTGCTGTCCTCACAGATTCCAGGGGCAGTTTCCCTGGAGCTGCCAGGGCTGTTCCCAGAGGTTGGAGCTGGTGTGCAGCTCTGGGAGCCTGAGGAGCAGCACCTGGAGCTGTGTGTGATTTTTCCAAGTTTTAGGGGTTTAGTGTTTAGGGGTCTCTGTGACCAACTGCACAGAGGTGTCAGTTATTCTGTTACAAAATTCAGTCTGGATTTTATGGAGTTGCTACAATGGGAATTCTGTTCACTCTGTGGCCACTGCTAAAACTCATTATCCCAATAGCTGCCTGCCAACTCTCCCTTTTATGTCTGTGTGGTTGCAGTCAAAGGTTCTAAGGGGGATTAAACATTAAATTTTTTATCTCTGCTTTCATCTGTCTTGGGAGCATGTAAAAGAAAAAAGGGAAAGTCAATAAATTAAAGGGAAAGGTAATAAATTATAAAAATTTCTTGGAGAAAAGAGTAGCACATTGGAAATTATTTTCCTTTCTTTTCCTTTTCAGATGACATGTTTGACCTCCCATTCCCAGATGACATGGACAATGACATTAGAATTTTGATAACAGGGAATCTTCACTCTTCACCAAATTCCTCCCCAGTTCCTTCCCCTGGATCACCATCTGGCACTGGAGTGGGATCTCACTACCATCACAGCAGGGTAAGGCTGCAGCACCACAGGGAGCAGCACTTAAAATAAAATACAAAGAAAGACCCAAATCCTCCAACAAAATCTTTTTCCTTTAGATCCTGACACATAATTAGCTCAACAGCAAGCAAAACTTAGTTTACAATTGAAGGTTAAATACTGCTGGAGGTGTCTCTGCCATGGCTGTTTGCACCCTCCAAGTTAATTGCTGGTTGATGATTGAGGGGGAGAGAGCAGTAGGAGAGCAGCTTTATTTTGGTGTGGCACAGCCATAGCTGATGACCCTGCATAGATTTAATCTGTACTCATCCATTCCCTCCTGGAAAATCCTATGGAATGTCTCTGGCATGAAGTGACAAGTCTTTGAGAGAAGGGAAGCTGTGACAGCCCTGTTCCCATGCATTTCAGGAGAGGCAGGAGGGAGAGAATTCTCCCAGCGATGAAACTCTGCCCATGGAAACTCCGCAGGTGCTGGATGGTTATGCAGATGTTGTTTTCTTAGGAATATTTAGCCCAGAGCACACAGCGTTTGGGAGTTATTTTTGTTTGAAGTGGCTTTTATAAAGTCAGTTCCAACATCAGTGATTACTTAAAATGCAAATTATTTTCAGTAATTCATGGGGGTTTTTTTGAATTGGCTTAGCTTGGATCAGGTTTGATGGAACTCTTTCACTCCTACATTTAATCACGTAAGACTGAGCTGATCTCTTAAAATGGTTTCCATCACAATTAGGTCGAAGTTCTGTGATTTGCAAGTTTCTGTGAAGTTTTGTTCTAGAAGTATTAACTTGGAAGTAGTAGCATATTACTTCTTTACTAAATAATAGAGTATTTAATGAGAGAAACGGGGTAACTTTTATACCTTTTTTGACACATCAGTGAGACATCTCCAGATCAGAATTCTAACTCCTGAACACGACTGACTAAATGGTGGTAGTTTCACCCCTGGAAGTAGAAAGAAGTTTGCAAGTTTCCCTTGCAAACTCTGCCAAAATGCCTCAGTGGAGCTTTAATACAGTCAGTGAGGGAGAAATGCCTCCTGCCTCAGCCACAGAACTACTAATCCTGTATTTTGTGATCTCAGTCCACAACCACCTTGTGTGGATTGTGTAACTCTCCCATCAAAGGCTTGATAACAGCACATTGCTGTCCCAGTTATTCCAGACTGGTGTGTGGGCAAATGAAAACTTCTAAATTCTGCTGCCAAACCCTGCAGCCATAAATCAAAACTCCTCACTTTCTCCCTCCCCAATTCCCTCAGCAATCCATTCTGGCCCACTTCTCTGCAGAGCTTGCCTTCAGTGGAGCTGCATCCATTGGGAGCAGCCCTGGGAGGTTCATGGCCTGAGCCCAGGGCCCTGGACAAGCCCCTTCCAGCTGAACCCAAGTAATTCCCATTAACCATTAAGCCAGGCCTGGTAATTGCAGTGTAATGTTTGGCTTTAGCAGAGCAGCAGTGTGTGATCATCCCCCCGTGGGCCTGGGGTCAGGGCAATAATTGATGGCTGGGCACCAGCCCCGTGTGCTGGGCTCCCTGTGCCCCTGCTCCAGGCTTTTTTCCTGCCTTAGATTCCTGTGCAGACCCACTGGAAGGGATTGGCAGGGAGGGATTTGTAATTGAGCTGCTTTCTGTGCTGTGGAATCTTTGCCTTTTTTTCTTAACCTATTGACATTTATGGATGAAGTGAATTGCTCTCCCAGCTGTTTAGGAATCTACAGTGTTTCTGAAACATAAGCCTGGAGAACCCAACCTCAGGGGAATAAGGCAGGGCCTGGGTAACTTTGACTGAGATTCCTGACTGACTAAAGGAGGCTCATTTGTCACAGGACAGTAATTAGCAAATGAAGTCACCGTTCCAGGAGTGGGCTGTATTGACAGCACCCCAGAGCTGCCTTTTCCCTGTCTTGCAGAGCCAAGGTGAACGTCTCCTCTCCAGAGAAGCCCCCGAGGAGCTGAAGCAGCAGCCCCTGGCTCTGGGTTACTTTGTGTCAACTGCCAAAGCGGAGAACCTCCCGCAGTGGTTCTGGTCCTCCTGTCCTCAGGCACAGAACCAGTGTCCCCTCTTCCTGAAGGTCTGTCATACTCCTCATGGAGCACTCATTATCCATTGCTGTTTCCATGCCTGTAAAAGGCTAAATTGGAGTTTGTGGTGTCAGAGTGAACCTGAGACCTCTCACTCCAGAACTGCAGAACTCCAGTCTGTTTATTCAAAATTGTTACCATTAATTTGGAAATACACATGGTCATGGGGGGTTCAACACAGAACTGCCAACTTCCCACGCTGTCCTGAGGTGATTCACAATGGATGTTTCTTGGGAATCTTTAGCAGTACCTGCTGTATGAGAAGTTAATTTTTGCTCTTTCCCTCTGAGCAGGCCTCTCTCCATCACCACATCTCTGTAGCGCAGACAGACGAGCTTCTACCTGCCAGAAATTCTCAGCGAGTTCCTCACCCCCTCGACTCTAAAACTACATCAGATGTCTTGAGGTAACACCTTTTAGGTTTTCATTTCTGCCCTATTTCATTAGGGGACTGAGCTCAGTGGTTTCAGAGTAACCTTTCCAACCTATCACAATTACTTATCTGCACGTTTTAGCCCTGCCATGCCCTATGTGTCTTGGGGCATTTCCTCCTCCAAGATGCCAGAGCAGGACTTTGAGGGGGAATTCTGTGGGTTTCCCTCTGCTGTGCACAATGATGCCAAGCAAACTCAGAACAGCTCAACCTTGCCAGGGGGACATCATGGTTTGCCCCCCACCCAGACTGCTCTGTTCCCCTGGCATCTAATCTGAGCTGTGCTATTCCATTATTTTACCAAACCCAATGGATTTGTAGGAGGAGATAAAAGCACTCCCTGATGCTACTGTGCAGGGATTGGGGTATAAAGGAGACACTGTTCCTGAATGCATGTAGGGTGTGTGTTTTATTGTTCAGGATGGTGTGGGGCCTGTTTGCCTCCATCCCACCTTTGGGGACTGGACACAGATCTGTGTGATGAGAGCACACAGTGTGGGACACCTGAGTGAACAAACATCAGCAGGGAACAGGAATGTCCTATCTAAGGAAATGGGGGGTGTACTATTCTAGACGATATTAATTTGCATCCTGTTGGAGGACTGAGCTCTCACAGGTGTCCTAGGTATTGAGTAAAATAAGAATGCACTGGCCAGAGACAGGAAGAGATGCAACAGACACAAGTTACAAGATGAGAAATTGCAATTAGATAGAGGATCACAGGAACAGTGTGAGCAAACACAGGGTGCCCAGAGAGGCAGAGGTGTTCAATCCCCAAGGCTTGGACAGCAGTGGCATTTGAACCACTGTGAGTCTAGAGTCTGTGTGTGTTTGGGAGGGCCTTCGTGCAAATGGTTCAGACATAGCAAAGCTGAACCCTCCTGCTTTTCAGTGAGGTTCCTCCTTTGCCAGCACACTGGCAGCCCTGTCAGGGTGCAGGTCCAGGAGAGCCCATAACACCCCCAGAGCAGGCTGTGATGTGTGTGCCTCCTGTGCAGGTTCGTGCTGGAGCAGTACAACGCCCTGTCCTGGCTCACGTGTAACCCGGCCACGCAGGACCGCAGCTCCTGCCTGCCCGTGCACTTCGTGGTGCTCACCCAGCTCTACAACGCCATCATGAACATCCTGTAGGACACACAAGCACTTGTTCTTCTGGCTGCTTCTCCCCTCCGCCCAGGAACGTGCCACGACCTGCAAAGAGCTCCGTTTGCTTCTCTTCAGACCAGTCCTGTGCTGTGCTTCTGTTCCTCCAAAAGCACATGTGAATTCTGCAGTGTTCAAAACTAAACTACCCATTAACATCTCTGGCAGCTTCAGTCCAAAATCTGGGAACATCCAAGAACAGTGAACACAGAGTAACCTCAAGCCAGTGTTAGTTTGGTGGCTCAGTAACTACTGGTCAGCGTGATTATTTTTTTTAATATTTTATTTTTTTAAGGAAGACTACAGGATCTTTTTGCATTAGGAACTGATAAAGACTCACAAGCAGTGTCAGCCCTCTGAGTAAAAACCACCCTGTAGTGACCAGTTCGGGTGTTTTGTTGTTTGATCGTCGTAAACTGGGACTTTGCAGGAAGAAAAAACCACAAACACAAAACCACACAGTTGTAGTCTCGTATAAATATTGGAGTTTTCTGTCTACCTGGAGTTCCTGTCAGAGTGGATTGGGATGAATGCATGCATTTGTTACCTGTCCATGTAGATATGAATGGTCTGGAGATACTTTATTTATTTTTAGGTTTGGGGAGGGGAGGGATTAAATTATAAAGGACCAGGAACAGTAGGAATACCTTAAAAATCCAGCTCCATTCCACTGTAGGGTTATTTATCTACAGACCTCTTACTCTTCTGACCTGGAAATCAAAAGAAGCTCATAATAATCAAAGTCTGGGAAGGGAAATGTGTTCTGGTAAGGATATCTTGTATTTTAAGGAATTCTCCCCTGTGTTTAGCCTGGTTAAAGCAAGGAATGGCCAGTGTTTAATGAAGGATAACACTACCTAAGGGAGAAGAGTGAGAGGGAGGTAGGGAGGAAAAAAATACTTTAAAGCCCAGTTCAGGGCAAGTGGAAAGTGGCAAATTATTCTATTGTAGAGCTATGATTGAAATATATTTCCAGTAAATTTAGTGATGCTAGAAAAGTATTTACTGAAAGCCAAGTCTCCCTTGAATTCTGGGCAGACTCGTCCATGTACATATCCAAAAATACGGTTTTTGTTTACACTAAATCAGTCACAAATCTGGTGTATTTTTTCTGACTATAGGAATATTATTTCAAAGAAATAATTTTTAAAAATTATATCATTAAATTAGTACTTGAAGTTACACCACTGTGGTGGCAAAGTTACTTTGTTTAGTGAAATGATCGCCATTGGGAAGGTTAATGGCTAATTGAAGTATTTTTATGACTCCTTCATTCCAGGCTCCCAGGGGTTCCTATTCCAGCCCCATTCCCTCATTTCTGGGGGTGCACTGGGCAGCAGGAGGGGGCCAGGGTCAGGCACTTGGATCAGGCTGGGTGACCCCTCCCCTGGCTGTGAAGAAAAACTACCAAGTTTAGAGTTCTTCCAAAAGACTTTCATGTTCTGGTTAAAAAAAATGAAATTCTATGATTTTAAAAAGTATTTTTCTTGAGATAATGTAACATTTAAAACAAATTATATAAAATAATAAAAGAAAAAAAAAAAGAATTGCTTGTGTAATGAGAAGGTGAAGGCAGGAGAGGAACCTGTAAATGGATTCTTTCCTTCCCTGCTCCACCACTCCGTGTGGGTGTCCTCTTTGCAATGTATAGGTTAAAAAAATCTGATATCAAACCATTTGTATCTAATGTGTACAGTGTAAAATTGACTTTAAAAATATTGCAGTACTATTTTTTCTTAATCAGAAAAGAAAATTCTCAAGGCCTTTTGAAGAGCATAAAAAGATGAAGATTGTAAACTTGTATAAAAAAATTTAACTTGGGGAGGAAAACAATGTAAAGTAGACATTTGTAATCTTTTACCATTTGGGGGTTATTTGTTCCCAGGATTCATCTGAACTTTGGATTATTATTTTGCTTATTGTTTTTAAATGGGCCGTTTTTATCCAGGGGTGTTTCTTCCCCACAAACCTGGTTCTAAGCAAAAATTAGAAATTAAAAAAAGGGCAGCAAGGAGTAGTTTTCATCTGGTGTCTTTTATTTAATTTTTTTAAGTTAAGAGAAGCTGGTGACATATTTATACGTTTTTGTGCAAAATAAATGAATGGCAATAGATTTTAAAGAAAAATCTTATGTACTTCAGTGTGAGAAGTTCTGTATAATATTTCTCTTAAATATGCATTATTTTACTTGTGAGTTTTTTACTGAATTAATCTGAAATGTACAAGCCCTGGCTTTCCTACAGAGTGAAGAAAGTTATTATTTTTTTTTTTTATTTCTAACTTTGGAAAATCATGCCTAAATCAGAATTATTATTACAGTTGTTTGAGCTAAAGGGAGCGGGAGGGTGGGGAATGTCCAGCATGCTTGTATGTATATTTCAGAACCTTTTTTAAATGTAAAAGCTGTACATTTCTGGGGAGTTCTGAATTTCTTTTTGTTTTTTTTTTTTCCTCTGAGCATTTTGCAGTGAGCTTCTTTTATATATAGCCGACAATTTGAAAGAAAACAAAAAAAAATGTGAAGTTCATTTTAAATCTACAGTATATCGCTGGTACAATACACTAAAAAAGACTTTGATAAAAAGAAACAATAATAATAAAAGACCTCCATTTTAAATGTCATTCATATATACCTTGTGGATGAGAGCTATATACTTTTACACACTTTTTTAGATGAATAAATTATTGAATTACTGAAACTGTTGGTGCAGTTTTATTCTTGTATTGAGCTCTGAGTTTTGACATTCCCAGGGAAGGAATTGCAAGGTGCAGATCCAGGGCTGTGAGTGGAACTGGAATGAAATGTTTCAAACCATGGCTGTTGTGAGGGGACAGGGATGTCAGTGATGCCAAGGATGGACAATCCTGCCAGAGGGGTGGGTGGGAGCAGCCTGGGAGAATCCAGTGCCACAGGAGCAGTGGCTGCTTTCCATGGGAAAATCCAAACCCAGGGGTCCATCAGTGATGGATGAACTTCTCCATGTGCAGCAGGTGAGTCTCCAACAGGAGCTGTCAGGGGCAGGTCAGGCCTGGCCCCTCTCCCTGCACAGGGATGGGGACAGGGCCATGGTGGCTGCAGGACAGCCCTGGATGAGGGACCAGAGCCACGGCCTCAGGCTTCCCAGAGCAGCTGCAGAATCCCCAGCCCACAGGAGCTGGATGGACTCCATGATCCTTGTGGGTGCCTCCCAGCTCAGGCTACTCTGAGATTCTGTGCTAAGTGTAACTGCTGTGTGCAGGGACGGTTGCACCCCAGGAGGTCTCTTCAGAGCGGGACACTCTGGGATTAGCAGTCATTCCCAAATATAGAAGTGCCAAAAATGACATTTAATGAACAGCTGTGACATCCCAGGGTGTGGGGGGTGGGGATTGGAGCCAGCTGTGCCATCCTGGGACAGGGGAGAGGGATCCAGCTGTACCATCCTGGGATGTGTGGGATGGCTGGAGCCAGCTGTGCCACCCCAGGCTGCAGGGACAGCCCCTGTTACAGCGGTGCTGGCTGGCAAAAGGGAATGAGGAGTTTCTGCAGACCCCAAGTGTCTCACAGGTGATCTTTGTGGCTCACTCCCTTAAAAATTATCCTGAAAGAACTCATTTTCCATAATAGCTGGAGCCCACATAGCATCCCATGCCATCTCCAGTGACTGGATGGAGGAACTGCCACTCCTTTCCATGGCTCTTCAATGGCCATTTGGGATTTCCTCAGTAGATGTTATTTCTTGTCCACTTGAATTTTGGTGCTTCTTACTTCTGAATTCAAATACGTACAAAAATAGTCCCTAAGATTTTACTTTTTTTTTTAACTTTCAAGCTTGTATCTTTTAGTTCACTGTACTACTGTAAATTATGGTACTAAATGACACTGTTCAATTACCCTATCCAAGGTTGTACAGAACAGTTACATTTTGGTCTTTTCCTGTGAGAGCTGCAAGTACCTGGAATTACTGCAGAGCAGTATTTGTTACATGGAGATTACTTTGTGTCTAATTCACTGGCTTCACAGACAAAATTACCAATTAAATATTCCATTCCATGAGGACTGTAAGGAAGACCTGAATGAAAAAACTGAAATCTCAGTTGATTTGTAACAATAATGGAATATCTACAAGTGTGTGCAACACTGTGGTGATGGACTCAGCTCTTTAACTCCAGTAAAGAAAATGCTTTTTAAGATTAGGCTGACATTAAACTACTTTTCCTTTCCCAACTGCCATCTCTATTTTTGACAAAATGTCATTGCAACTTGAAAGTTGTTTCAGCACATGTAGAAAGCATCAGAAATAGTGAAGTAAACATGAGGTTTATGGGCAGTCTCACCATTTAGAATGGAAATGGAACAGCCCTGCATCCCCAAACAGGAAGGCTTTGGTCTTTGACAATAAAACAGGATTTATAAAATTATGCAGCTTCTACTTCCCTATTTTAACCCTGAACCTTAACCCTTGGACAAAAGTTGATGTGGCACTGCCGGTTTGTGCTTCACTGGCTGTTCCCCTACCAGGTATCAAAGGAGCAATCCCACAGCACATCCAAAGGGCTATGGAAACCTCTGGGCTGTTTGCAGCCTGAAATACTCTGCAGAGGCCTGGAAGAAGATGGCCCCAGTGTCTGTGTGAGGCCAGCTGGGAATTCAGGCTGCCCTGAGCTGTCAGTGCTGGGATGTCAGGAGCTCTGCTCCAGGCAGGGCAGGCTCCAGTCTGAGCCATTCTGTATGAGCAGCTCCTGCTCTGTTACACGCTGGGCCCTGTCAGCCCCTGCAGCCATGGACACACATCTCCAGTACAGCTGATAGAAGCCAAAACCATACAGCACATGCTCCTTTATCTGATAAACATCAGCTTTTCCCTGGAAGAGCTACTTATTGAAACCTCTCAGAATCATGGTTAAAAACCAGCTTAGCACAAGGGACCCTTTGCAGCAAACCAGCAGGACATGGCACTGCTGGGGACTCTCTCTACAGGAACATGTTTTGTGGTCCTGCAACACCCACCGGAATTCACTGCTCCCTCTGGTGTCCCCACAGGGTCTGGTCCCATTCCATGGCCACTCTGATGTTGCTCTGAGGATACTACAGCAGCCTCTGCTGTTGACACCTCCTCTGTTCCCCAAAGCTTTCAGCTCTTAGCCAGCCCTTGGTACCCAGCCACCTCCTCCACCTTCACATTGCAGGAATGTGAGTCCCTTCCCACAGCAC